TCCATCTCTATCCAATCAAAAGTTAATAATGTTTCAACTTCTCGTAAAGCTTTAACCTTCGTAAATGTGATTTCTCTAGGGTGAACTATATTATGTCCTCTTTCAATTGGGACCGTCAGTTCAGTTATTTTTCATCAGTAGAAAGCAAATTCTCTCATTTCTTGAAAATTTTCAACGAAACTGTTCGTGACTCTTGTTCTAGCTTCATTAATCCTCCTATCAAACGTCGCCCATTCAACCAAGATAATCGTATTCGCCGCCTCAATATCAAGAGAGCAAATCTTATACGTGCAAACCTTTTTAACAATGTCACTCGTCTGCAATTCAATTCATTATATAAAAAAATCAAAGCTCGCGCTTCTTCCATTTACTCAGCCCGTGAAACTTATATTGCCAACAACTTCAACCACGTCCAAGTTTCCAAATACATTTCCAAAAAACTAAAATGCCACTCTTCTATCCCTAATATTGCCTTCAATAACTCTCTTATCTCTGATAGTTCGTCTAAAGCTGATGTTTTCGCCCAAATCTTCAGTGATAACTTTTCTAAAGAAAGTTACGATCTGATCCCTATTTTTCCTTCTCGAAAACCCATCAATTGCTCGATTATTTTCACGCCCGAGCTTGTTTATAAGACACTCTCAGCTTTGCCCCCTAAATGTGGGTTTTCTCCTGACCTAATCAATCAACTTGTTTTGAAAAGGTGTTCAACATCTATTTCAATCCCTTTGTCCATCCTCTTTAATGAATCTTATTACTCCGGTTCCATTCCCTCGTCTTGGAAATCCACTACAGTTATTCCTATTTTTAAACGTGGAAAAATATGTGACCCTTCTAACTATAGACCAATCTCCCTGACACATCCATTATCTCGCGTTTGTGAAAGAATTATCTGTAACATGATCCGTCATAGATTTTCTACATTATTTTCTGATTCGCAATTCGGCTTTTTTTAAACAAACGATCCTGTAAACTCAACCTTCTATCTTGCCTTTCCTCGTGGCAAAAATTCTATTGCATCTAAAAAGGTTTGTAGATGTCATCTATTTTGATTTTTGCTAAGGCATTCGATAAAGTTAACCATTCCTTGCTCCTTCTTAAGCTTCGAAGTTTTGGTCTTGATGAAACCGTTATTCGATGGTATGAAAACTTTCTGTCTGATCGTTGCTCTACTGTGCTCATTGATGGTTCTCGATCTACTTTTAATTATGCTAATACGTCTGGTGTCCTCCAAGGTACTGTATCTGGGCCTTTGCTTTTCTTGATATTTATCAACGACATTGTTAACTTGATAGACCCTGAAACCTCCATCTCACTATTTGCGGATGACATTAAAATTTACGGTTCTAACCCAGAATCTCTCCAACATAGTATAAACTCTATTTTTTTGAATGGTCATCTACCTGGGGCTTGCCCCTTGCCGCTAAAAAAACATTTGCTATTCACCTGGGCCCTCGCAATCCCAAAACTATTTATTTGATTAATGGAGTTCCCATCCCTCATAAATCTGTTGTACGTGATCTTGGTGTTCTAATCGATGAGAAACTCACTCTTGCTCCGCACATTAATAATATTGTATCTCTTGCAACGCTTAGATCCAACCAAATTCTGCATTGTTTTCGTACAAAATCTCCGGCTCTTCTGTTTCAAATTTTCAACACCTACGTCAGACCTATATTGGAATATTGTTCTGAAGTTTTTAACCCACCTATTAACTCTGACCTTTGCTACAAGCTTGAATCCCCACTCAGAATTTTTTCCCGCAAAGTTTGCATTAGGTCGAACCTATCCTTTGATTCCTATTCAGATCGTCTAGAGCAATTTCAACAAACCCCACTGTACATTAGACGAGTTATTTCTGATCTCCTCACTCTCCAAAAAATTGTTTCTGGTCATGATCACTTTCCTCAATTCGAAAATTTTGCCCTCAGATCCAATTTAAGGCGAAATCCACTTCGGCTACGTTCTCAAGGTCAGTTTTCTAACAACTTTTTTTTCAAAACGATTCCTATTTGGAATAAACTTACATCCAAATATCAGTTCACACTTCCACCTAATTCTTTTGAAAAAAATTATTGGTCGTTTTACCTCGCAACGAATTTTTTACCTCTATTCCACCAAGACTTTACTGATCTCAATTTTTTGTTTTTTACTTCAACTTTTTTTCTTTCCTCATTTAAATTGTAGATCGAAGTGAACTCGTTGGGGTTCACACTGATCTGTGAATAAATTATTATTATTAAAGAAGAAGGAAAAAGACGAAAGCTTGTCCCTAGCAACATCGGCAGGAATTGATAAGGCAGAGCTCTCGGGTTGGCTCCCAAGGGACCGGAAAGCTCCGCTTCTTCATACGAACTCGCGGCTATAGCTGTCTCGGTGATTCATTTTCTTTGCACAATTTTTCTCATAGGAAATTTCTTTCTGTAAATTTCAAAGTTCAAGCCATTGTGATTTGTCCGAGTCGGCGTTAATCTCGATGGCGGCGAAGGACGATTTGTTTATAAAGAGCCGCCGACGCGCAGTTGGTCAATAATCTTTACTCCTTTCCAGTGCCGTCCTTGTCGTGTTGGTCCAGGAGAGAATGGTCTAACAGGCAGAGACCCCTCAAGATGAGAAAACAGACAGATCAAGGGTGGTCTGAAGCCTTGGACAAAAAAGTTGCAACGAGCTAGGCATCTTTCCTTCCTTTTCCAGGTCACTTCAGATATATTTCTGATCTGATATCGTCGCTTTGTTCTGTGCTAAAAACGGATTTCAAGTTTTTTTCTAAATTCTCAAAAATTGCGATTTTACTCATTAAATCCGCTCGGAAAATCCAAATCCTTTATTCAAATCTCATTTTCTCTCAGCTTCTGAAACTTTTAAAGTTTCTAAACATTTTCAGGAATTCAAGCTTCTTCGCACACAGGTTGGGCTCAACACGTAACCAATCGCCCCATAAAACATCTTTCAAAGCTTATTTCCTTGCAATGGCCCATTTTCACGACTCAATTAAAAAAGTCTTTTCGGTACTACTTTCGCTGTTTGTGTGGATGATGGCTCACAATAGTCGGCCCACGCATTGGCAGAACCACTCTAACCAGATGTAAGTGTATTGTGAGGGACACGTGTACGACTTCTACGAAACGGTCGGAAAGGACGGGGAGACGCAGAGAAAAGGTGTCGACGAGAAGTCGCCGGTCCAGAAGAGGCCCTCGTTTGGCCCGTAACCACAACGCGCACGCCACACGCCAACATCGATTTGCCTCATGTTGTATACATACACCACAACCGTCCTTCGTACTCCTTTCCTCAATAGCAATCATTTGTTCAGCATCGGACCGTGTCGCACAGTTTATAAACAAAAAATCGTTTCTTTTCTTTTTCTCATTGTAGTATTTCCATGAAGTTTTTAGAGTAAAATCCAAAGACTCTCAACTTTCGTGCAGGTTTCGAGCTGCTATATGGCAATATATTGAGAAGTGTATTGAATCTCATTTGATCTCGGGCAAAACTGAAAAGCTCCCCAAAAGCTTTTCTCAAAAAAAGACCTTGAAAGGGTCCCCAGCAGATCTTTTTTACATCATTTCAATTCTTTTTTGCATTTTTTTCATATCCTCTGACAAAAAGGATGCTGGAAAGCAACTAAGAAGATCCGAGAGGATTCAAAAAGGATCCTCTGAGGCTAAGAAAATGGTGCTCAAAAGCTTTTTTACATCATTTTAGGAGCTTTTAGAGGAAGCTTTTTATCTCCCTCTCAGAATCCTTTAAGGATCCTCAAAGGAACTTTTCAGTTTCACCTATGTATCAAGCGTGATATTTCCAATTTTCTTTCATATTGATTTCGAAACCAATGCATAGTCGCTCCAGTGCACAGTTTTGACTCTTGAGGTCGATTTACGCATTGGGCTTTTTTTTAAATTTTTTTTTCGTTTTTTTTTCGTTATTATCCTCAAAGAATTGTTTGATGGGATATTTTTTGGAACCTTCTTTATGTATCTCACGGCCCGACGTTTTAGTGATCTGCAAAAATGTTTCAAGGAAGCATTTTTTTCCATTGTGTTTTTCCAAGTTCGTCTCGGAATAATTTATTCTTCTTCTTCTATTGCCGGGTTTTTACTAAATATATATATATATATATATGTTTTGATAAGTTGGCAAAATAAAAAAATAAGCGCAATTTTTTTTCTTTCTGAAAAGCTCAAAAAAATGTTCAGTTTTGTCGCTCACTTCCTTCAGGTTTTTTTCTGTGCTGAAACTTCCATTCCAAAAATTAATTTGCACACTTTGAACCCAAACTTTTATCGGGGTCTTTGCTCGTTTACGTATGTTCAATTAGTTTGCGTTCCCGCAACGAGAAAATTCGGAAAACGTCTGTTTCTGTTCTCTTACTGAATTAGTGTTCGTGTTTTCATTTTGAATGAGTGAGTGAGCCAAGGTAATGGCCGTTTCGGGGAAGAACCTCTTGAAATGTACGAGCAGCTGCCGCTCCGGAGACTTCACTAATTCCTCCAAGTGTTTTTACAACGCCGCGCGCCTCTTGGCAGCCACTGCGACTTCGTTTTTCTTGCAGTTTTTTTTTTGAAACTGTTCAAAGAAAGAATTATTTCGTAGACGTTTTAGAACCAATCCTATCTATTATACTGAAAATTCAATCTTTTTTGCTGCAGTATTAATTTAAAATCCCTTAAATTTGAAATCACCTAAAACGCGAAGTTGAGTATTTTAAATGAGAGAAGAAACTGGACATGCTTTGTGCCGGAAACACCAAGGAGCCGGGCTTTTCTGATAGATCGAGTGCACTGCTCTCGGCCGTTTGCTCATTGTGCATTCATTGTCTCTCTCGGGAGCACCCGAAATGTTGCGCGCCAACCAATTCCACTTGAATCAATCCTTGTTTTGGCCGAATTACATCAACTTACACCGACTTCGTCTATGTTCTCATTGACGTTTTCTTTTCAGATTTTAGGTTGTTTTTTTTCATAGAAGTAAAAGACGTCAGGAAACATTTCGAAATCGATTTGAAAAATTACTGGACTATCTTTTTGCATAAAAATTTATTTATTTTTTTTTAAATATATATTTTAAAAAAAGTTTTTTTATGAGTATACTCACTTCCTTTGTCTCAAATTTTTTTGTAATCTGTCATTTTTTTGTGTAAATAATATTTTTATTCAGCGACCACGAGTTATTTAAATTTCTTGGAATATTATCCCTGTAAGTTAAAAAAACGTAAAAAAATTTTTCATTGAAATTTTTTTGAAAAAGAGTTCTTCGGAGCTACCACAACGATATAATTTTTAATCGTTTTCCCTACTGGCGACCGCGCTTTTCAGTTATAAGAATTCAGACGGTTGGGTAATACAAACTGGAAAATGAGAGATAAAAGGCAGTTTATTGGCCATTTGGGAATCGAAAGCGGTCCACTTCACCTAGCTAACTCGATAGATCACTGTTCCAACCGGGGTCACTTTCCGAAACGTGCAAATCGAGATGACAGCTCAACTGTTAGCAGCATTACAACCAACCCCAGGCCTCACTAATGACGAAGTAGCAGCCGAGTTGATGAATCAGCATCTGATAAATTGTCAATTTCTCTCTCAGAAATAAGGGAAACAACAAAAATCAAGTGAACGCACCATGAAACTTCTTCTCTTTACTTTTCATGCTGTTTGCTCTTGTGAAAGTTTTCTTGAAGTCACTCTGTTTCGTTAAAATATAGTTTTTTTCATGAATATGGGTTGAAATATCACTCTAAGAATTAGTGAAATAATGGCTTTTCAGTTGGTTTATCAATCTTTTTGTGTGATTCACTTCGTATCTTTCTTTAAATAGCGATGAATCAACATTAATTCGTTAATTTATCTTGATAAACTTCCCCACTTTATTGTTTTTGTTTTTCACGTTTAAATTCTCAGATTTCGTTTTCCATTTACTTTTCTTCTCACCACTGCTGTTTCGCCAAGTAGGAAAAAAGAAAAAAAGTTTAATTTGAAGCATTGTGCTGCCCGCGCTTTTTTGTTCTTGTCTCCTTGTTGTTAAAAAGGTCCTTGAACGCTCTTTTTTCTGCAAGCGCATCATCCAATTTTTTCTTCTATCCTTTAACTCAGATCACAATTGTTCTACAAAATGAATGCTTTTTTTATTTAAATTTTAATCACTGGAGAGTTGACGGGGGCGCCGTTTTTCGGCCAATTGGCTCCGATCATCATCATGCGCTCGGCGCCAAATTTAGAAAAAAGAGGGAACCGGCTGTTGGAATGAAATAAATCTTGTTGGCTGTTGGGATGACAAGTGACATTGGCACGCCTACCTGACATCTTATTCAGCGCAGCCGCTTGTAAACAATCGTCAAGGTCGTTCCGACGCGTGCCAATCGATTCGGCAGTGCCAATGTCAATTCGACCCTTCGGATCAACTTTTGACCTTTTTACTCTTCACTGACGAACATTTTTTTATTTTTCTCGTGTTTTTTTTTTGATTACAAACCCTATTTTATTTCGGTTACGCCCTACCAAAGAAGGTTTTGCAGAGAAGATCACTATCTTTTCGCGCAATTTTTTTTTATAGCTAGCGAGGAATTGGTCGTGGGCCTTTATACGAAAACCCATTTTCTCTGTTTTTTTTTGTTCCATTAAAAAGAGATTGATATGTTTGAAGGCGCAGAGGTTTTGTATGATACAAAAATTATTAAAACTGCTTTTTGCTTTGATGTTTTCATGTCCATCTCTTCTCTCAGAAAACCCTTGCACAAATATTCAAAATATCTTCATTTATTATTATTATAATATTCTGAGAACTTCTGAGAAAGATCTTAATTTTTTTTACCTCAATATCATGGAAATATACCTCCGAAAGTTTTTTTTCTCTGAGATTCCTACAACATGAATAGGTAAAAAAATTGAAAGGACCAAAAGTAAACTACATATAAAAAAATTCTTCTAGTAAAAAAATTTTCGTTTCTTTTTTTGATTGTACGAGATCCATTTCATCCTTTCATGATTATCTCTTTTTTCTTGATATTTTTAGGAGCATCTGTTTGAGTTTTCTCTTTTTCTTTTTCTCTTTTTCAGTTTACTAAGGAGCCAGAATCCGTAAATGAATCTGGAAGAGTACGAATCAAGTGCGTTATCAGTTGAGCCGTTAGCTTGTTTCTGCAACTCTAACCAAATAAACAAACAAACGCGGCTTCCCGCCAGTATCGATTGATTTGCGCCTCTCAAATCCAATCGAAACTTTATGGATTCTGTTCTCCGTGTTCTGAACGCTATTTCCCACGCCTCAAGCGCATATGAAACGCTCATCAAACAGAAAATTTTTGAAAACGCCGAGTCCCGTGCAACATGTATTGTACAAACAAGTGCAAGCGCTCCACGCATATCTCCCTTTCATCTGCACATCGATCTCTTTTCTTCAATTATACACATTTTAGTCCGGCAGAATCTTCGGGAAATAGTCCAATGGATTCATGTCCATTAAATTGCGTGTGGAATCGTGATCGATTCGACGCCGGCGTGGGAAAAGCGGCTGTAGTCGTATTTCCGAAAATAAAATCATTCAAGAATCTTTCTTTCTGCTTTCTTTCCATTTTAACTTTTTTTTTTTGCCTTTTCACAGAGTTGAGGAACTTGTGAATGTAAATTGATGTTGTATTAAATATTCTTTATTGACGACTGCTGTAAAAGTTAATGGTAATGATAGTTTACTAGGAAAATTTTTTGCGGTACTCTGTTTGATAGTAGAGTAGATCCCGTTATTAATACAAAAGACCTTAAAATTTTTGAATGTCGATGTATGCGTTTGAAGTGATTTCTTATTTTAAAGTCTTTTTTCTAGTCGAACCCTGAAGGCTTTATATGGGACTGCGTGAGACTTTTCCGATCTTCAGAAGTATTTTCAACAGGCTAACTAACGAATAGGGTAAAACATATAGCTCTCAAATGGAGGTTTCCGTACCTCTCCACATCGAAAAAAAAACTTGTTTCAAGGGTTCTAACAAACTGATAGTTTGGAAGTGTTGCAAATGTGAATATCGCTGAGTAAGTTTAAGGGAAGCGGCAATTGCCACCGGTCGGTGCGCGGTAATCGGATCGATGAATAGATCGCGCAGCGACACGCTCAGACTCCCAGCAACCAGTCACCTCCGCTTTTTTCTTCTTTTTGTTGAGCGTTGCTCTCTCCCAACTCATAGACTACTCAGTACACGGCTCATTTGCACTGTTTCTGCCGTTCCAAACCGCATCGGTACGACCTTTTTCCACACTTTTGTTCATGGTCATAGTATGCGATTAATTCGATCCTAAATTGTTGCAAAACTTTGATATGTAGCTGGAGACTTGTGAATGAGCGGATCAGACACGCAAAACGGATGATTTTTCTGGTTGGACTTGTCAAACCGAACACTTGGCTTTGATTATTTGTGTGCGTTATGAGCATGTTCCTTTGGTGGGCTTTATTCAGCTTTACTTTGTGCGGTTCAAATAATGTCTCAAGCTTTTTCTAATTTTTTAAAAATTTTATTCTTCTTTTTATAGATTTTGACACGTCTTAGCTTTTCTTTTCCTGGTTTACACCCCTCCTATTTAACTTCCAAGCCGATTCTATCATTCTTTTTCGAAAATATTTTTTGTGCGATCTTGGTCCATAAAAGTTCCATGAGTAGTTCTGGTCTCCACCCGATTGGGAGCAGGACCAAAACGACGAGCCCCAGCTGTGTCCCAACGCGTCTTTTAGGCGGCTTCCCGTCCTTGAGCGGATCGATGAGTGGAGCTAGAGACAGCTTGCATCTAATTCCTCCTGCCTGCTCGCGTTGTTGTGCTCTCCGAGCTGTGTATGCGGAGCTCGACTCTCGGCAAAACGCCCTTACCACGCTGAACACGGCTCTTTTCCCATTTGAGGACAAAAACCATCCATCGAAGGGTGCTCTTCGTCTTTTCCAGCCGTTCACTTTTTTGCACGACTCTTTTGACGTTTTTTTCTGTTCTCTGATCATTTTTTTGTCCTGTTCGAGATTCAAGAGAAAATACACTAGTCAAAAAAAACTTTATCAAGTATTTTGTGCGCATTTTAATGAAGTTGCTGAACTCAATTTAGAAGTTTTTTGTCATGCTGTAAACAGTACTTCCATTGTTTCTCAATAATTGTTTCATAATATCTTGTTTTTTTTTTCAGAAATAAGATCAATCTGAAAAAAAGCCAGGTCGAAAATGGTTTTGACCCCGTTTCGCGTGTTTCAGAAAACATAAATCTTCATTATCTTTCATTATTCTGATATTCTTTTTTTCACTGGTTCGAAATTAATTTTCCGTGGAATTCTTATTTTTTTCTCCTCACTTGAAAAATATTGCGAAACCAAAAAAATTCTTATTTTTTTGATAGTTCTTATTCAGTTTTAATGAAGCGCTTCTATTTTTTTATCGCCTTTTCATCGATGTTTCAAAAAAAAACATGAATAAATTTTTATCGTTTAAATGCGAAAAGGAACCGAGATTTTTTTCCTTAATGAAAAAGAAGAGATTTTCAGCAAAAATTTCGGCGGGACTGACAGTGGCGCGAGGCGAATTGGCGATGAACGACGCCAATTCGCGTCAGGACGGCGTCGTCAGCGCCTCCTACGACGAAGAATACGATGAGAACTCGTCGGCCCGCCTCTTCGAACGCAGCCGCATCAAGGCCCTCGCAGGTTTTCTTTTTTTCCTATTTTTCTATTTTCAAGTTCAAAAAATGAACTTTTATTTTTATATAATTCATGCGATTTTTTGGCCGATTGCTTTTTTTCTTCAGATGTTTAATTTCTTTTTACTTTAAACTTTTTGTACTTGATTGCCTCACACATATTCATTTCGATATACTTTTCCCATCCTCTTGATTTTCCAAATACACCAAAAAATTCAAATTAAACCACTTCAGAAACGGTTTGATTTTTATAGTTTGGTAAGGATGTTTTCTGCAGAATCCGAGACGTTTTCGCCGGCTGTGCTAATACGTGTATGAGCATGAAAAGAAAGGTTTTTATACACGTTTCTTTATTTTCTCAAATGTTTCTCTTAGCTAATAAACTCCAATCCTTGTAGATCCTATGAAAAGTTGATTATTATGAACGGTTTTTTAAAGTGATATTAACCTCTGTGAGGCTTTATTCCAAAAAAAGATTAGTAGAGCTAATTTCAGAAACATTATAATGAACAGGACGAAAGGGGAATAAAAGTGGAAGCCCCGGAGCCATATCGAATTTCCTTCGCCATTTTTTTTTTCCAAACATCTGCTCAGTTTCAATCTTTGAATAGCGTATTTGAAGACCATAAAAATATCGTAAAAACTCTTATTTGATTAAAAAAGAAACGAGAAGGAAGAAGCTCTTATGAATTAGGACTCGAAAACAAATGTTTCAAATATTAAAAAAATTGGAGAAAGAACATAATCAAAAATTTGATGCCTGATAAGATTTAAAAAGGGGAAAAATAATTTTTTTTTTTCCCGTTGAGAATCGATAATCGATCCCTTGTGTTATCTCCTCTTTTATTTTTGAATCGATTGCTTTCCGGCTCTTTCAGAGGTTTTTCGAAATGTACTAGATGTTCTTTTGGCAGTCTCAGGACAAACAAACATGCAATCCAAGCGCAAAGTGATAGTTGATAACCTGGGGGCCCGATAAGCGAGGCGTCACCACAAATAATCGCCTGCAACAGTTCTATTCGTTCCTGCTCGATGGACAACACGTCGAGAAGCAACGCCGACGAAGATCCAGCTGAGGAAGTCTCGATCCGGTTGCGAGGCGACTCCAGCTCGGAAACTAGCTACAAGACGACGACTCCTTGTGAAGACGTCCATGAAGTTTATCTCGGTCATCTGCTTGACGACGCTGCCAGAAGAAGTTCTGAGCTCTCAACTACTTCTCATCGGAGAAATGCTTCTCCCGGGCTTTTTCCTGGCTCTCGCGGAGCACTGGACGCTTCGATTTCCAACCGTCAATCCAACGGTCAAGCTCGGAACGGAAAGCCTTCAGGAGTCGTTCTCGATGGACAGTGTGGCCGCAACTTGGCAGCTATCGATTTTCGCATCAAAGGCTTGAAAGGTTGATTGCTAGAGATCGCTTGGGCCAATGCTGAGAAATTCGAAAAAATTTCGAGACAATGATCTTTAAACAATTACGAGATATAAAGATATTTTGCGCGAAAAAATCTAGTCTCCCTTCCAGATTTGAGCTTTTTTCCAACCTTATCATTCAAGTTTTTTCCTCTCTCTTATTTCTTATTCTCCGGAATCGGCGTTTGGCCGAGGCGGAAAGTTCCTTTTCTTCGCTTATGAATTGCATTTTTGAATTTTTTCAAAGTTACTACGAATCTGTTCAAATTTTATCTGAAAGGTCATCTCTTTTCACCTTCTTTGTTCTTTTACGCGAATATCTTCGGTTTTTTTTGATTTTTTGATTTTCAGACGAACGTGAGAACGTACAGAAAAAAACGTTCACAAAATGGGTAAACTCGCATTTGGTCCGCGTCAGTTGCAAAGTCCAGGTTAGTTTTCGGTAAAGGATACAATTGGTTGATTTTGACTTGTTGCAGGACCTTTATATGGACATGAGGGACGGAAAAATGCTCCTCCGGTTACTCGCCGTCTTATCAGGAGAACGCCTGGTTTGTGTTTTGAGATATTGAATCTGAATTCTGAAGTTTGATTCATAGCAGAAATGTTTATATGTCCTCAAAATTCATTCTTGGAATAAGTATCAGCTTTTTGTAATTTTTTTGAATGCGAGATTTTCGAACAAACTTTTAGGAAAAAAGAAAAAAATTCTTGCAAAACCAAAGTTCTCAGTTTTTTTGAAGTATATTTTTTTGATTCATCAACTTTTTTTCAAACCGATCTTCACGAATATGTTCTGAAAATACCTTTTGGTGCGCTACTTTTTAAATTTTTATAAATTTTCTCGATATTCAATTTATCTTTTGCTTTTGCAGAAGCGATTTTCATGTTTTTTTTCTTGTTTCAAAAAAATCAGCCTTTTTAATGTATATATTTGGCAATGAACCTTCTTTTTTTCCAATAATAGAAAAACTAGTTTGTAAATTAGTTTTATGAAATATAGGGATATTGCACCCCAGCGAAATGTTCTCAATGAACGATATAAACAGCTTTGAAGAGTTGACGTGCCTAACCTGATTTTCTTCTTGTTCTTCTTTTCGTCTGGAAAGTAGAAAAAGGGAACGGATTGTGGTCGAAAGACGTTGTCATCAATTTCACACGTTTTGATGGTCAATCTCGGCCCGAGCCGAAGTCCGCCACATGCTGAGGCTGTGTAATGCCTACGAGTTCCGCAGTTGCTGCCCAAAGTTCGGTGGAAACCGCCGCATTTTACTGAAAAGCTTCGTGGGGCCGCTTCTTTTGAAAAAGAGAGGGCAAATCAATGCAAACGCACGACTGCAAAACAGAGAAGAGTTTTTTCCTTTTATAGTCTGCGCGGAAGCGAAAAAAAAAGAAAAGGAAGATGGAAAAGAGGGGACCAACTCCGCTGGGCTTTTCCTGATTTATTTCTTCAGATAACACGACATTTTGAACGATTGTCGTTATTTAGTCGAGAACAGAGGTTTTGAAAAAAAAAAATGAAAAAAAAATGGAGATTGAATTCAAGTTCATAAAAAAATATATAAGTAAAAAAACATTTTTTTCATAAGAGTTTCAATGTTTAATTACTCTTTTTATTTATAGCAGAAGGTTTCATTAATCTTCAATTTGAATGCTAGTTTTCATTTAAAAAAAGGCTGATTAGGGTATTTTATCGAAAAACTTTGAAATGAGAGAAATAATATTTCGGACTCGCCCCAGCTTTCTTCATCAATGTCTCATTTTAGTTTGAAATTGGAATGAATTCGCTTTTTCGGTAAAAATTTAACATTTGGTCAAGTTTTTCCAATGAGTGTATATTTTATCAAAAAAAAAAAAATGGAATAAAAAGAAGGAAATGAGCGAATTTGAACAGAAGGGAATATTTTTCAGCCGAAGCCGACTCCTGGAAAGATGCGGATCCACTGTCTGGAGAACGTGGACAAGGGTCTGCAGTTCCTTCGTGACCAGCACGTGCACCTCGAGAATCTGGGCTCACACGATATCGTAGACGGCAATCCGAGACTGACGCTCGGACTCATCTGGACCATCATCCTCCGGTTCCAGGTTTGAGTGCGTCTCTCTCTCGCCTCAATCAGAACCGGACTCAGATCCAAGACATTACGTTCGAAGACGCCGACAACCACGAGACGCGGTCGGCCAAGGAGGCCCTTCTTCTGTGGTGCCAGATGAAGACCGCCGGATACCCCAACGTCAACGTCCGCAACTTCTCCACCAGGCAAGTCCTCATCTGGACTCATCTGAAATATCTTTCGTGCACTGGAATGATTATGTCACGATATATCAACTAACTGAAGTAGTCTTTCATTTTTCGAATAGCAGTTAACTTCCCATTCTAGAGTATGGTTCGGAACTAATGTGTCCATTGACAAAGTCAGATATTGATCGATTAAAATCTGTCCAGAGGCGTTTCACGAAGCGCCTTTTCCCTAGAATGGAATATAATGAACGGTTAAAACTGTTGGGTCTTCAACCTCTTTGGTTTAGGCGTTTAGTTAAGGATCTGGTATTATCACATCAGTTTTTGCATAATAAGTGCTGGTCAGACTCTTCCATCCAGGTACATAACAGCTTTGACCGTCCCAGTCAGCTCAGAGGAAATGGTTTTAAATTATTAAAAACGAAACCTTCACTGGTTTTCTTCAATTTCTTATCACATCGCATTACTAATGTTTGGAATGACATTGAACATGAATTATTGGCAGAGGAAGACAAGAAAAAGTTTAAGGACATATTTCTAGTGTATGCAGAAAGTGTTGGCGTCGAGCATATTCTTTCAAGTGTTCACAGATCTGAGCCATGATCAACTTGGTTTTAAATATCTACTTGTTATGGTTCTATTTTTCTTTTCTCACACAAAAAACTTTTTTTTTCTTCACAGGTGGGGTTAGTTAATCCACCTAGTGGTCTTTTTCCCTCCCATCACCATACCATCCCGATGTTGCGAAAAATAAATAAATTGATTGAACCACGTCACTATCACAAAAACTTTGTTCTTAAAAAAAGTTACTTTTTTTTATTAAAGATTAATTGCTTCCTCTCTAAAAAAAGATTGGTTGTAAGATTTATTTCATACATTTAGTTGCTCTTCTATTGTTTTAGGTAGACGCTCGCTATTTTTTTAACTTCGCATTTTTTTAAAAAAAGATTAGTTAAAAAAATTTGGTCGAGTGCTTCTTGTTTGGAGCTTTTCGTATCCTTCATTTTTTTACTTCCTGCAATTTTCCTGGATTTTTTTCAGATTCAAAAAAACATTCTTTCAGTATAATTATGTTTGAGGAAAATGATAAACCTTAAAAAGTGAAAAGGGATTTTCGTTTACCTACTGAATTTAGTTGGCGAGACGGTTTGGCGTTCAACGCACTGATCCACAAGCACCGACCTGATCTGGTCGATTACAACAACCTGCAGAAGTCCAACGCCCTGTACAACCTGCAAAGCGCGTTCGACACCGCCGAGCAACAACTCGGACTGGCCAAGTTCCTCGATGCCGAAGGTTTTCGAGCACGAGAAAACTTCTGAAAACCCATCTTTCAGATGTGAACGTTGACCAGCCCGACGAGAAGTCCATCATCACTTACGTCGTCACTTATTACCACTATTTCAACAAGCTCAAGCACGACAACATCCAAGGAAAGCGTATCGGAAAGGTTTTTGCGTATTACTTGAGATTTCTCAAGTTCTCGACATCAGGTGATCAACGAGCTGATGGACAACGACAAGATGATCAACCGGTACGAGACGCTCTCGTCGGACCTCATCGAGTGGATCAACCTCAAGATCTCGCTGCTCAACGGCCGCGAGTTCCCCAACTCCTTGGAGGGCGTCCAGCAGCAGCTCACCGAGTTCAACAACTACCGAACCGAGGAGAAGCCGCCCAAGTTTGTGGAGAAAGGCGAGCTCGAGGTGCTGCTCTTCACCCTGCAGTCAGCCATGCGCGCCAACAACCAGCGGCCCTACGTTCCTCGCGAAGGAAAACTCATCGCCGACATCAACCGAGTCTGTTTTCGTTCTCCACGAAGTTTGTAGGGAGAGAGATTTCGAATATCGGAACCCATGTGATAAAACGGAACAAACTGTTATGGTATTTATTGAGCTGCCCAACTAGTATTTAAGACTGTTCAAATTAATAAGTTTTTCGAATAAGATTATAATAAATAAAGCAATACGTTTCTCTAAACATTTTCAATAGTAAAAATGTCAGGCCTGGCAAGCACTGGAAAAGGCGGAGCACGAACGAGAATTGGCTCTCAAGGAGGAGATCATCCGACAGGAGAAGCTCGAACAGCTCGCAGAAAGGTCTGTATCTGGGGTTTGCCACTGAATGAAAGGAGCTCTCAGATTCAACCGGAAGGCCGACATGCGCGAAACTTGGCTCACCGAGAACCAGAGACTTGTCAGCCAGGACAACTTCGGCAACGATTTATCAAGTGTCGAGGTTTTTTTCAAACGTTCCTTATCACATCTGCGGAAGAAGTAAAAAATATTGTGATACCTATTTTTTAAACATGGTTTTTCCAACTTTTCTGCATTTTTCAAAAAAATTCAGCATTTCGTAACAATAATTCATTGAAAGCAAGATTTTTTTGAAATAAAGTGGTAAAATGTTAATTTTGGTTCTATTCTTGAGATACAAATCACCAAGAAAACAGTTTTCTGCATTTTGTTTTTCCTTTTTTTTTACCTTCGAAAAATTCCTTTCTTGGTTTTTTATTGCGGTTTGTTGAGTTTGGATAGTTCTTGATTATGTCTCTTTTTGAAGGAACGTGACATTTTTCATTTGCAGGCCGCCACCAAGAAGCACGAGGCTATCGAAACGGACATTTTTGCCTACGAAGAACGTGTCCAGGCTGTTGTGGCTGTTGCCGGTTTGTTTTGGTTTTTTTTTTTCTATCTTGTGAAATTCTTTTTTTAAATGTTAGAAGGAATAAAATCAAACTTTTTGCTGGTTTGCGGGAATTTATTGAAGCGTTAGCAGTGTTTTACATTTTCTTTGGGGTAATTTTCACTGAAAAACGCATAAGTTCCGTACTTTCCAGGCGAGCTCGAAGCTGAACGGTACCACGCCATCGACCAGATCAACGAGCGCAAAGAAAACGTGCTCCGTCTCTGGAACTACCTGTTCCAGCTCCTTCTGGCACGTCGCGTGCGCCTCGAGCTTTCGATGGCGATCCAGCGGATCTTCCACGATATGCTTCTGACCCTCGACCTCATGGACGACATCAAAGCACGGCTTCTGTCGGAGGACCTCGGTGCCCATCTAATGGACGTCGAAGATTTGCTCCAGAAGCACGCTCTTCTGGAGTCCGACATCAACATCATCGGAGATCGTGTTCGCAGCGCCGTTGAACAGTCTCAGAAGTTCCGGAATCCGGAAGGCCCAGACGGCAGTGGATATCAGCCGGTCGAGCCGGCAGTTGTCGACGAACGCTGTGACGTCCTTCAGAAGCGCTACCAGGAGCTCCTCGACTTGGCTGCCGAGAGGAAACGTCGTCTCGAGGACAACAAGCGACTTTGCCAGTTCTGGTGGGACGTCGCCGAACTCGAGCACGGAGTCAAGGAACAGGAGCAGGTGTCTTCGTACCTTTCTATTCGAGAAAAATTCGTTGCTTTTAAGGTGCTCAGTTCAAACGACACCGGTCGCGATATCGTCACCGTTTCTCACTTGTTGGCTAAGCACAAAAACGCTGAAAACAATCTTCGCGATATCGAGAAGCATCTGAGTCGTCTGGATGAAGAGGGCGAACGTCTTCAGGCAGACCAAATCCCAGGTCGGGACATCACTTTTTCATTGGGGTTTCAGAGGCCAGTAAGAAATTAAATCTGAAATTTTTCTCGTGAGAAAGAAGGCACTACAAAAAACCTTCATTTTCATATGATTTAAATGATATTTTGCTGATTTTCTTATTTCAGGATCCGACAACATCCCCCCGAGGCTACAAGAGATCCGCGATTACATTTCCAAGCTCAAGGATTTGGCTGCAGTTCGGAAAGAAAGACTCACTGGCGGCGTCGATTACTACCAATTCTTCACGGACGCCGATGACGTCGACGCCTATCTTCTTGACACTCTTCGTGTGGTCAATTCTGACGACGTCGGCAAGGACGAGAACACCGCCCAGATCCTGCTCAAGAAGCACGACGACATGGCCGAAGAGCTGCACGCATTCGACGAACAGATCAAACTCCTCCACTCCAAGGTCGAATCTTTGCCCAGAGATGTGAGTTTTCGGTTCTTTCATCAGTTGTAAAGTTTCATTTTCAGGCTCGTGAGCATCCCGATATTGTTGAGCGCCTTGACACTACCATCAGACACAAGGCCAACTTGGAAGGATTGGCCAAGCTTCGTAAGCAACGGCTCATCGACGCGCTGTCCTTGTACAAGCTCTACTCCGACGCCGATTCTGTTGAAGCTTGGATCGACGAGAAAGGAAAACTTTTGGCTACTCTCGTGCCAGGAAAGGATCTGGAGGAGGTTGAGATCATGAAGCATCGCTTCGACACTCTTGAGCAAGACATGAAAAACCAAGAAGCCAAGGTGGCCAACGTCAACGACTTGGCGCGACAGCTCCTTCACATTGAGCATCCGAACTCGGACGACATTCTCCATAGACAAAACAAACTCAACGCTCGCTGGGCTCAGCTCCGCGACATGGTCGACCAGAAACGTGCAGAGCTTGAAAGGGCACATCGTCTGGAGACGTTCCGCATCGATTGCCAGGAAACTGTCACTTGGATCGAGGACAAGACTCGTGTTCTGGAGGATTCCGATGCGCTCACAAACGACCTCAGTGGCGTCATGAAACTTCAGCGACGTCTGTCTATGATGGAGCGTGACTTGGGAGCCATTCAAGCCAAGTTGGACTCGCTCCACAAAGAAGCCGACGCTATCGAGCGTGAAAGGCCTTCTGAAGCGAAGGCTATCCGCGAGGATATCAAACGCATTCACCACGTCTGGGACATCCTCAACAAGACAGTCCGAGAACATGAGGCGAAATTGGACGAAGCTGGAGACCTGCAACGTTTCCTCCGTGACCTGGACCACTTCCAGGCTTGGCTCACTGCTACTCAAAGACAAGTCGCTTCGGAGGAAGAGCCGCAGTCTCTTGCTGAAGCTGAACAGCTTCTTAACCAGCACGCCGCCATCCGTGAGGAGATCGACGGATACGCAGAAGACTACAGCAAGATGCGTGCCATGGGAGACCGTGTCACTCAAGATCAGACCGACCCTCAGTACATGTTCTTGCGCCAGCGTCTGGCGGGTCTTCAAGAAGGTTGGGAGGAACTCCAGCGGATGTGGGAAAATCGGCAGCATTTGCTCAGTCAGGGGCTTAACCTTCAAATGTTCCTCCGCGATGCCAAGCAAGCCGAAGTTATGTTGTCTCAACAAGAAAACTATCTGGCCAAGGAAGAGGCGCCACAGTCATTGGAGCAGGCTGAAAACACGCTGAAACGTCATCAGGACTTCATGACAACTATGGACGCCAACGATGAAAAAATCCGCGCTGTTGGAATGTTCGGAGACCAACTCTGCCAAGACGGTCACTACGCTGCTGACAAGATCCACAAAAAAGCTCGCAACATCGACGAACGAAGAGAGGCTAACCGAGAGAAGGCACAGGCTGTTCTCGCCAAGCTCAAGGACACTCTTGGACTCCAACAGTTCTTGTCCGACTGCGAAGAGCTGCGTGAATGGATTGAAGAGAAGATGATTCGCGCCCAAGACGAAACCTACAGAGATGCCAAGACCATCACATCTAAATTCGTTCGTCATCAGGCTTTCCAGAGCGAACTTCAGTCCAACAAGGAACGCCTCGAACAGCTGCGCCACGCAGCCATAAACCTCGGAGACGACAAGCCTGAGTTCCACGGAACCATCGACCCACAGATTGAAGAACTCGCTACCCAGTGGGAGCAACTCGAAAAGACCACGGAAGAAAAGGGCCAGAAACTGTTCGACGCAAACCGGCAGCAACTCTACGTTCAGAGTATTGCTGACATGAAGGAATGGGCTTCGCAATTGGAGAAGGAAATGGTCCGCGAGGATCCGGCCGCCGACTTGACAACTGTCAATGTTGCCATGCAGAAGCAGCAGTTGATCGAGACTGAAATGATCAAGAAGGCGCAGCACATCGACCAGCTGATGGAAATGGAGCCTCAACTCGAAGAGATGCATCCTGATGAGCTGGAGAACATTCGTGCACATCGTCTTGCTGTTCAGGAGCAACTTCAACGTTTGCAAGCTCCACTAGACGACCGCAGAAAACACCTCGAGCGAAAGAAGGCGGCCTTCCAGTTTGGACGCGACGTCGACGACGAACTTTTGTGGATTTCGGAGCGCCTTCATCAGGCACGATCGCAGCCAGTCCTTGAGAGTCTGCCAGACTGTCACCGTCTGCAGAAGAACACTCAGCTTCTTTCAAACGAAATCGACAATCATGAGCCCTGGATTAATAAGATTTGCGGAAATGGCCGTGAACTTATTGACGAAGGACATGAACGCGCTCCAGAGTTTGAGAAGAAGATTGAAGACTTGCAAAAAGCTTGGCAAGAGCTCAAGGACGCCGTGAAAGACCGGAAGAACCAGCTGGGTGAAGCTGAAAAGGGGCACCAATTCCTGTACGATTGTGGAGAGGCTGAAGCTTGGATGAGTGAGCAGGAGCTCTACATGATGCAGGACGAGAGAGGGAAAGACGAATTCTCCACCGAAAACCAGATCAAGAAGCACGAGCGTCTGCAGTCCGACATCGATAAGTTTGCCGATACAATCCGCGCTCTTGCGACCAAGGCCCACAAGTTTGTCGAGGAAAAGAGCCCGTTGAGCGACAAAATCACCCTGCGCCAAGCCCAGATCGAAAAGCTTTACGCCGGTCTTCAAGACCTTTCCAAGGAGCGCAGGAAGCGTCTCGACGAGACTTTGGAGCTTTACGCTCTGCATCGCGAGATCGACGATTTGCTCCAATGGATCGCCGACAAAGAGGTTTGTTGATTGAGAAAGTTTGATTCATTATTCAGTCATCGAAATACCCCGAAATACAATAAATATATCTTAAAAATTTCTTTCAAGAAAAATAAAACGCTCAGATATCTCTTTCACAAAACGTTGAAATGGATTTGAAATTGAAAGTTTTGCGAAATTCTTCGAAAAATGAAAGATTTTCGACGGTGTTAGCCTTGATCATTTGACCTCATTTGACCAGAAATTCTTTTAAGATGTCTAAAAAAAATTGAGTAGGAATCGAAATTTTCTGATCACTCCTCATATTTTATTGAAATAATTCCAAATTTTGAACATCATTAATATCCAAGTCCATTTAAAATAAAATATTTATTTCACATCAAAAAGGTTTTTTTAGGTGGTGGCAGGAAGCCAGGAGAACGGTCAGGACTACGAACACGTGCAGATGTTGCAAGAGAGATTCCAGCAGTTCGCTCGCGACACGGAGAACATTGGCAGCGAACGTGTCGCCAACGCGAATGACGGCTGCGACTCGGTCAGTCTCAAAAAACCTGGATCCTGTGTGTATTCACATGTTGCAGCTCATCGGTCAAGGACACACGGACGCACCGACAATCGCCCTGTGGAAGGACTCGCTGAACGAAGCCTGGGAGAACCTGCTCGAGCTCATCGACACTCGGGCTCAGATCCTCGAGGCGAGCCGCCTCTTGCACAAGTTCGTGTCATTCTTGATGTTCCTCGACTCTGAAGATATGAACGCAAAAATGCTCGATATAGAGATATTAGCTATGGCACTTTTCCATACTTTGAGTAATATTTCAAATATGAATGCCTTTTATTGTTAGTTACATGATGTCAGCTAGATTTCTCCTGTTTTTCTTATATCAATCACGATTTATGAAGTCGTGCAGAAAGAAAGACATCGATATTCAGGTTCTTCCACGACTGCCGCGACTGCCTCTCCCGAATCATGGAGAAGACCCACGCGATGCCAGAAGACCTCGGCAGAGATTCGAGCAGCGTCGGCGCCCTTTCGAGGAAGCATCACAACTTCCTGAAGGACATCGCCGCCATCGGAGAACAGGTCCCCTTGAAGGCATCTCGAGTCGCTCACCTTTCGGAGTCTAGGTGGCACAAATCGAACGCGACGCGGCTGAGCTGAGGGACGGTTATGCCGGAGACAAGGCCTTGGAGATCGGGGCACGAGAAAGCGAAGTCGTCAAGGCTTGGCGACACTTGAGAGGCCTGTGCGACGCCCGTACCACGCGACTCGACGACACCTCCGACCTGTTCAAGTCGGTTCAACCGCTTTAAAGGGACCAAGATGGCTTTCCAGGTTCATGAATATGGTTCGTGACTTGTTGCTGTGGATGGACGAAGTGAAGCGCGAGATGAACTCGCAAGAACGGCCGAAGGACGTGAGCGGCGTCGAGCTGCTCATGAACAACCATCAGAGTCTCAAGGTGAAATGTTTTGTGAGAAACTCAGAACTTTCGTGGTGCTTCCATCTCAGAAAAGTGGTTTTGATGCTGAAGCATTCTTTCCCAACATATTTTGAAAATAAAATCATTAAATAATAGGTTCCAAAGCAGGAAATTGTCAGACATTCTTCGAAAAAAGCTTCGTCCAACTCTCCAATTTTAGGCTGAAATTGACGCTCGAGAAGAAAACTTCAATGCTTGTATTTCTCTCGGACGCGACTTGCTCAACAGAAAGCACTATGCGTCGAGTGAAATTGAGAAGAAGCTGATCAAACTGACGACGGAGCGAGCGGAGATGATGCGACGGTGGGAAGACCGCTGGGAGTACCTTCAACTCAGTTCGTCCTCCTCTCTTGTGCTCTCAATCGCTCGCCTTTTGCAGTCTTGGAAGTCTACCAATTCGCTCGCGACGCGGCGGTCGCCGAGTCGTGGCTCATGGCTCAGGAGCCGTACCTCATCTCTCGCGAGTACGGCAGGAATCTCGAAGAAACTATCGCCCTCATCAAGAAGCACGAGGCGTTCGAAAAGTCGGCTCATGCTCAGGAGGAACGATTCTTGGCCCTCGAGAAGCTGACCACCGTAAGTTTCGAATTGGGAAAGCTCCCTGAAGGGTTCTGAATTGCAGTTCGAGCTGAAAGAACTGCAAAGGAACGAAGAAGAGGCCGCCAGAAGACGTGGAGGCCCCGCACACATTGGCAGTCCTTCGCGCTCGCAGCCTCTCGAGACTTCTTTCTCCGCCGAGCCCGATGGTACCTTTTTTTCCTCTTCATCACAGACATACACACTTTGCCTTTTTCGTTCGTCATCCTTTTCGTTAGACACCTTTCCATCTGCTTTTTGTAATCTGTGACTTCACAAACTCTGCTGTGTTGTGTTTTTCAAAAGCATGTAGCCAGCGCCATCGTCTTTTCCAGAGTTCAACATGACGCTCAGCAGTCTCGACAGTCAGGGTCGTCCCTTTGGTTTGAATTTTGGCATGTTTGCGACTTTCAAAACATCTGAAAATTTGCATGTTGATATCATCCCTTCACTTCAATGTTTGAGGCGAAATATAGAGCTTCCCTCTCACCTCTATATAAACAAGTTCGCAGGCTTTTTATTCGAACCGGTGAAAATTGGTTCCAAGTCAAGTTTTTTGGAATTTGAGCTCATTTCTTTTCCGAAAACGCTCTTTTATTATAGATTTTGAGAAACGAAGCGTTAAAAATGTTTTTCTTGCAACCAAGTAGTTTCAAGCAGTGCGGAGATGATTGCGTTTCCTTTTTTCGTATTGCTTTCGCGAACCGCTTTTTCCTTTTTGCATGTCATCGATCCATAAAAGTAACGTGAAGTGTTGTGGATTTTTTTTTAGATCGACACCAAAGAGCGCCTTCAGCCGAACCCAGCAGTTGGCGCAAGTCGCTCGCCCGAGCTCCCAAGTTCGACGCCAAAGACTCCCGCGGTAGAGTCCTTTCCTCAGTGGCCGATGATCGTTTCGCTTCGAGTGTTTTGTAGTTGTGGTTGTGAAAAATAATAGATAGAAACGTTCTTGCGGAAAAGTGTGTCCACTAAACGCTTGACCCTTCATTCAAGGACGGAAAGTTTTTTTTTTCAACATAAATGTACTTCATTTTCCCCTCTTGTTCCAGAAAGAGTTCTGTGCTGTTTGGGAAGATAATTCAATTTTTCAGAGAATATCGAGAGTCCAGTATATATCATTTCGAATATTTCTATCAGCATGTAGCTACTCGAAACTTTTTTCTTTTCTATGAGAACAATTTTATTTTTACAGGTTTTTCGAAATAGAATACTCTATTCCCCACTGGCCTGGAAATCGAATATAAACTGAAAATTTTTTTGGTCAGAATATGTTTTCCCATTAGGCTTTGAATTGAAACTATTTGATCATTCTACTTTTTCAAAAAAATTGCATACTTTTTTTGAGAAAAATATTTTTTTATTGAAAAAAATTGCTTTTCAAAAACTCAAGAAGCTTCGGCAATAGCTTAAGATATACAAAGACGTATAATAGGTTATTTTGTTTTATACCATTAGTGAACTATTTTTCAAAAAAAGGAAAAAGATTATTTTCATTTGATATGAAATGATATTTTTTTCGCTCTGGTAATAAATACCCACTTTTTTTCGGGAATTATCAGGATTTACTTCGAAACACAACGATACTAACCCAAAAATATATTTTTGCTTCTTTTGAAAAAAATAGCTTCGTAAAAAGGAGATTTCAGGCTATTTAATGTAGATTTTTGAAACCTCATATATTCAAAAAAGGTGAAAAAGGTTGAGTGAAAACTTCCCAAGTAGTTTCCAGCGGCCTTCTAGCGATTTTTTGAGATCAGGCCGTTTGAAAATTATTCGTTATAAATATCTGAATCGTCTCAAAGAAAGAAAATTCAGGTGAGCGACAAGGCGACGCTTTCGAAGGAACCCTCATCCGTAAGCACACCTACGAGAGTCTGGACAGAAAGGCGTCCAATCGGTCCTGGGAGAAACTCCTGGCCGTGCTGCGTGGGAACGAGCTCACTTTCTACAAGGACTCGAGACACAGGTTTTCGGGAGAAGCTGGACAAGGTCAGAACTTGGTTGTAGGGACGACAACACGACGGCGCACAACGAGACTCCGCTGACGCTTGCCGGCAGCTCGGTCAACGTCGCGTCAGACTATCAGAAGAAAAAGAACGTCCTTTCGTTGCGGCTTCCCATCGGCGCCGAGTATCTTCTCCAGTGCGCCAGCGAGGTCTTCATCTTTCGATTCAGATGTAGCCCTGTGCAAAATAGATTTCAAAAAAGGAAACCTCGAACAATTATTTTTTTTGGTTCTAATTGGAATATTTCTCTCATTGGATGTTTTAAGCATAATTTAGTTCAGTGTGGATGGTTTTTAACGCTTTTTTCAATTCACTGATTTCTATTTGGTAAGATTGAAAAGGAGAAAAAAAGTATGCGTGGAAATTAACAGTAATAATTTAACCTAATCCCAATAGTAATTTCTCCTTCTTCTCGGGGTTCTTTTCCGGGAAAAATCGACCTTGAGAAACTTTTTAACTTTCCACTTTTCAGGAAGATATGCAACGTTGGTTGACCGAGCTCCAATTGGCGACTGGACAGTCCCAACTCGAAGAAGCCAGCAGATCCCAAACGCTCCCAGGTTCGATTCAAGACTCAAGTTTTAATCTGAAAAGTGTTTTCAGTGGAAGGAAGCGCTACCAAAGCCAAGAAGGGAGGGTTCTTTTCTCGAAGCAAAAAATAAGCTTTTGAACTGATCTTCACAATCTAAGTCACTGCCATTCTCAACTTTTCTCCTTTTTTTCCCTTTGAATCCGCTGAGATTCCTTCGACGTCTTTCGGGCTATCGGCGAGCTTCGATTGTTCGTTTTTGGCATCTTCAGCGTTTCCTTTTTTGTTTCGCCAACGCTGCTGCTTCGAGCTCGAGGTTGGTTTTTGACTGCCTCCCGAAAGTAGGGAATTTTTTCCTGAAAAAATTTAATTGAAGAGTTGCCTTTTTCATTTATAGAATTACTTGTCTTAAAAGCGTGTATATTACTATTTCCACGCGCGGCTTCACTGAATAGAAAAAGTGAATAGACTTTTCTGCAAAATCTCTTTCACTTCATTCAGTCTAAAATCTTCTGATAACCTCGAATTTTTTTTCAGCCTGGTTGTTCCTGGTGATCTGTTGTTTGGGAAGATTTTAGTTGTATTCGGCATTCAACTAATTTTGCGGCCATACACTTTTCCAGAGGAATTTCCCGTTTCGAGGCACGAAAAAGTCTTTCTTTCAAATCCTCGTTTTCATGTACCCTACTTTAACCAAACCCTTCCTTTTTCGGTCGTTTCCAATTTTTGAGAAGCCCTTCCTACAGCTCTCGACACAGATACGGTTTTGGATTCCGTTCCGTTGTAGATCACGTTTTATTTTAGGTTTCAATCGCGCTTTTTTGGATTTCATTAATTTTACACATATTACTACATTTACTTTATATGTACTGTTTCCTGTTTGAAGACACTTCTCGCTTAGCCTTAACTACGTCGCATACATGTAGCTTTTTGATAGTAGATTGCGTTATCAATTTGTTGAATTTTGTTTTATCTCTTTGCAAGAACTTCTATGTACTTCTGAAAATAGATTAATTGCTTGAGCTCGGTACTCAATAGTCAAAATGAAGTGAATGCTTTTTCAACTCTAGCAGCTGCTCTTATCCAAAACACTTTCTACTGGTCTCTAATTGTTGAATGCAGCTTATGAATTGGATTTATTTATTATCCATTAACCACAGCTTATCACTGCTTCCCAGACCCCATGTATGCTTTCGCCATTTTTAGTAGTTTGTTTTTGCGAATTCCCCAATCATGAAAAGTCTTCTCTTTCTTAAAATCTTCTCTGATATATAGTATGCATCGGCTACAGTAATACATACATATTGTTGATGGAAAACTGCACGAAAAGGTAAATGCACTTTTGGGACGGTCGAAAGTCGGTTCGAGATGTGATTGCACTATCGAAAGTAGGATATTCCTCAAAAGAAAGAAGGTTAACTTTCAAAACTGTAGGACTTTTGTTTGAGCTGTGGCGTGCATGCTGTAACCTAATAATTGTCGTGCGTGAAGCCCCAGTGAAGTCTACGTCCGTCTCATTTTTGATTTTTTTTTTTTGCCTCCGGAAATTATGACAATTGTCTCCATTCTACGATGAGAACTTTCGAAAAGGCGAAATCAGAATTTTTAGCATAAAATTCGCTAGTGTCGCCCATCCGTTTTCGATCAAGCTTCCGACTCGATTGTTCCCCATTTCTGACTGCTGTTTTCTTTTCTTTTTCTGGCCGATCTGTATTCATTCATTCAGATGGATTTTACGAACGATTTGATTTTTTGTATAATGTTTTGCATCCGTTTCTGGTTGACTTTTTTATGTTTCGAGTTGTGTGACCTACTCCCAGTTTCGGTTGCAAAATAACTTTCTTATTTTTTGCAAATTCGATCCACCTTCGTCGCAAAATAATAAAACTAATCCAATTATCCGTTGATCTTTTCTTTGTACAATGTACAAGCGAAAAAAATATCATTCATTAAGCTTTATAAGAGTATTCAATCAAAAAAACAAAAACCCGTACTGTACAAAAAGGAGGAGACCGAAAAAAGAAAAAACAGGAAAGGAGCAATTGCAACTCAGCTGCTGCAATGATTGATAAAAGCGCAAAAAAAGGAAAAAAACCTCGTAATATCAAAAAAAAAAAAAATTTTTATTTGTGAAGAGAGTCAGAACTACTTGATATTATACTTGAAAAATTATTTTTTTGGAACTAGAATAATCCTTTGCAGGCTCTTAATTACAGAGCTCCACCTAAACAACATTCCACCTATATATTTCGGATAACTTTTTTGCAAGTTTCTGAAAAAGTTGATAAGTATATGATTAACCCACAACAACAGAAAACGCAGAAAAAAAAGGCGGAGATCCTTTTTTCTTCCAACCTAGTTTTCTGAAGAAAAACAAAAGGGACAATAAACATTGAATTATTAAATAAAAAAAGAAGAGGAAACGACAATATCAAAAATCCTGAAACTTCTGCTTCCTCTCCGATGTCCTTCGGCCTCACCGAAGAAGAAGAGGGTGCAGACAGATCAGACATCTTTAGATTACCACGAAAAAATTAAAATGTGGCAAATTTTCAATAGTTCAATTCGGAACAGGAACATTTCATAGTGTATTCACCGGTAGCTCGGGAGGAATATTTACGCGACTTATGAAAGAGTAAAAAAACAAGAAGATCAGATCTCCTCGAAAAAATTCTTCCAAGCTAGCAGTGAATTGGTAGATCAAACGGGAGCCTTTTCTGGGGCCACGAAAATGAGCATTGCCTCGAAAAGGTCTTCAACAGAGTGTTTACAAACATATTTAGACTTGAACAGATGGGAGTTTCCCTGTCAGTAGAGGCCGCAGCCCTTGAGCTTGGTGGAGAGGATGGTGTCGAGGACAGAGTCCAGCACGAACTGCACCTGCTCCGTGTCGGTGGCGCACGTGTGATGAACGTAGACGTTTTTGTCGGCGTTCTCGTTGGCCGCCAGGTACCGCCGTTCGATGTAGTTCACCGCCGCGTCGTACTCTTCTGGGCCTGCAAATCTCTCGACTCAAAGGATCTGTGCTGCAAACAGACCATTGTAATTCTCAAACGCGATTTTCAATGGTTTCCCATGTCCGATTTTCTGAGCGAACAAATCTTTCTTGTTGAGAAACAGAATGACGGAGGTGTTGACGAAATATCTGTTGTTGATGACCTGCTTGAAGAGCTGTAGAGACTCCTGCATCCGATTCTGGAAACCGTCTCACGTGGCCCAGAGCTCTAACCGGAAGAGGGACTGACTGTTGCGTTGTCCTCCAGAAGCACTTGGTCGTACTCGGAGAGCGAGGCGACGTAGATGAGGGCCTTGGCGTCGTCGAAGCAGTGGATCCACTTCTTGCGCTGAGATCGCTGACCGCCCACGTCGAAAACTCTCCAGTGCTTGTTCTTCATGTTGAAGGAGACCTCGATGACTCCCATCGTCGGTATCCGCGTGTGGAGGATGTCCTGCTCAGTCGGCACGTATCCCGAGTCGTATATCCGCTCCAGAGAATCCAAAAAACTGCAAAAGTCTCGGTTTCACCTTTTTGAAGTTAGAATGGCCAGAATCTACGCCATCAGATTATCCTTGAAATTGGCGAAAAGACTATTTCATGAGTTGGATAAAAATTTTGAGCATTCTCAAATCCTGGCTTCTTACATGTTAGGACGTCCCGAATTTTCAGCAATGGATAAAAAATCTCGAAAAGATCCATTCTCAAAAAAATTTTGCAGAAAGTTTGAAACTTATACCACTCCCCTGTTTCAGGAAGTCATCGAGCTCATAGTATGGCAGCTTCAGTTTGAGTTTGATGGGAAAAGTTTTGTAATTAATTTTCAGATAAGTGGTGATTGATAAATGAACAATTTTCTGTCATTATCATTGTGTCGCATCTATAGAAAAAAAAACGACAGAACTCCTTTTGTGGCAGGTTTGTCTCGCGGGAAGTCTGCAACTTCAATCACTCACTATTTTGCTGAGTCGTGCAGATAAAACTCATCTCTTCGCTCGTAGGCGATTTGGATGCCTTTATCCGACCAGAGTGCTCGCAATGCCCTGCAAAGAGGAAAGCAAGAAGTAGACATTCCGAACGGAAGTTCCCACTTGTAAACTTCTTCCGTGAGCGGTCGGAACTCCTCTTTCAGTTCTAAAGTCTTCCGGATGAACGCGGCGAAGTCCTGGAGACCTTCTCTGGGCTGGAGATGAAGACGTCACTGACCTGGCACTGCTTGTTGTTGTAGATGAGCTTCAGGGCCTGGAAGCCGTCGATGAGCGCTCCCATCGCCTGCACAGTGTTCGCAAAAACCACGTTTTTCTTCTCGATACTCTCGTCCTTTGAGAATCCGTGGTCGTGGATTATTCTGAAGCCGGGCGCTCTAGATTATTCAACCTCAAGAGATAATTTTACATTTAACTTTTCCGGAAATTCCGAGTCATTCTGCAAAATCAAAATTGTTGAAAAACTTTTGGTGAGTCTGAAGTTTGATGAAAATTTCGACGTTCAAAGTTTACTATTCAGTAAACTGTAAGTGTAGAAAGATTTCTTTCAAAGTTCATTGAATATTGAATGAACGAAAAATTGTCCTGATGTAGTTTTTTCAAGTGTTTGAATTCGAAGTTCATCCCCACGTCACTGAACCTACACAGTAAAAAATGTCAACTTTATAGAAAAAAAACTTTGAAACGGAGGATCAGAATTTCCGCTACATATTTCGAAGGCGTCTGCTCAATTTGATTGAAAATAATTTTTCTCTCTAACATTGAAAAAAAAAACTTACTTCATTTGTTTTAATATTGTACTTTTTCCACTTTCGCCAGCCCCTGAAATCGTCAATAATCATGTAAAAACCGAATCACGTTCATTGGAAATGTAAAAAAACGTTTTGAAAAGGAAATTCTCTGAAAAATCTCTGAGACATTCTTTTCGACTGGTGGTCGGCTACTGATTCTGAGAATATCAAACGAAACTCGAGAGAAGTGTCTATACTCGATAGTTTTCATGAGGAAGAGATAAAGTCACCGAGAAGCAGGAGCTTGACAACGTTCTCGTCCTCCTTCTTGGCCATCATGATCTCGGCATTGATCATGCGGTTCTTCTTGAGCTGTTCAGCGACCTGACTGTCGCAGTTGCCCATTTCCCAAAAAGCAGAACCTCGGTTTGAGTTCGCAAGATTTTCCTGCTTTTCTTCTGAAAATTTTGAATACTTCTTTTTGATAAAGACGCAAAAATTAGAGTGATAATAAATTTAAAAAAAACTGTGCAACGAGCAATGAAATGTCGGTTGCTCAGGGAGAAGGCGGCAGAGCGCGTAATTTACTCAAGAAAGACTTCACCTCAAGAAAATTGTGTGTTCGTCCTGCATGACGCGAACAAAAATTGGACTCTGAGAAAACAAAAAAAAAAACGGGAATTTTCGAATTCGAGTACAAAGTCATTTGAAAGCACTCGATATTTGAGCTTTCTATCCGTATTTACTAGTAATGAAAATAGAAGAAAAAAAAGAAGTTTCCGTGTGTTTCGCGTCTTAATTTTCATCTGGCAGGCCGGTTCCGTCGCCTGCCGCCAGGTGATAATAAATAAGATTAAAACTCTTCTGGTTCGCTTTTTGATCCCTCATTAACATCTGTAACTTCAAGACTGAGCTTTAGAACTCAATAAACTCAAACTCGTTTTTCTGACCAAAAAAGGAAACAACACCTTGAATATCGAGAAGATGGTATAGTCTGTGTGCCACGACTTGAAATTTCACGGAACGACATTCCGCTGTGCCGCTGCGCGCCTTTTCGAATCTTGGTCGTGCTTTTAATTTTTTTTTTTTTATCAAGGTACTCTACTCTCATTTGCTCCCACAGCAAAAATCGATCGAAAGCGTGACCTAGACTCGAAAGACGCTTCGCGAAAACACGCAGCGGAACAGCGGAATTTCGTTCCGTGAAATTTCAAGTCGTGGCACACAGACTAATCATTTGTTCAAAGTATCATGGGGAGCCTGAAGATTTCAATCTTATCGACGGAACGCAACGCTTTGAGAAAAAGTGTACTGATTTCGCGCAAGCTTGTCATCAAACTCACTCGATTTCTGACTTCAAAAGTGGAACTACAAGCGATTTTACACATACAAGAGACCATTTCAGAAATGTATTGAGAAGGCAGAAAATTGTTTAAAAAAGTACATTGATCCTAGAAACCAGTCGATGCGAATATCGTTTGAAGATAAATGGAAAAATAATTATTCTCTGGACTTTGTCGCTATAATTAGGGACCGCGGGCCAATTTTCAGAGTCAGTGATATAAAGTTGAAACCTGTATGAAAAGAAAGCTGATGGAAATAGAAAGCTGAAACGAAAAATGTGAAAAATTAAAAAAGAATAGCCTTTAATAAAACTTGGAGGCAAGAGGTTTTAAATGCGAAGTTCGCCATTTTTGAAGAGAGGGGAATTTGGAAAGCTGAAACAAGCGGCACGACTTTTGATGTAACGCTTCAGTTTCCTGTTTTGGACCCTATTTTTTCAACTAAATCTGTAATTAAGTGTGTCGCTCGGAAGAAGAGATACTAATTTTTTTCTTCTCTTTCCAGGTGTTTCGAAAATTGCCGCCTTCCTTCTCTCTTCATTCAGTCGCGCGCCCAAATTTGAAAAAGGAAAATCATTAAAGGATTTCTGATATTGCTATCGCTAACAAAATGTGGGAAATCAGAAAGAAGGTAAGCAACTGAATACGGCAAACGGAACCGTTACTTTTTAAAGGAATTTAGTCTCCAGACCCTCACCTCAATCGAGTGATTCTAACGTACATCAGTTTCTGGAAAAAGGAAAATCCGCGTCAAAAAGAAAGACAAATGCTTGTCAAACAAAATATATCACTTTTATTTTTATTCAGTCATTTTCTGAGAACTAGCCGAAACATACTCTCCAGATGGATATCGTGAAAGTCTGAACCTGCTTAACTTCCTAGTTTTCCAGAACGGACGTCCCAAAGTTTCAGCTGACAATAAATGTCAAGGAAAACGAGCTCTGAGGTCTTTTCTAGAAAATGAAAACCGGGGCAGGTTGAGACTTCCAGACTATCTGCTTTATTAAAAAAAAGGAATCAAAAAACTTCCAGACATCAAAAAAGTGAAATAACCTTCCATATGAGGACTTTAGACTTTCAGAGCTCCCAATTTCAAAATTTAGCTACTGGTTTCGTCAATGGTTTTAAGTCTATTCATCCAAAACTTTTTAAACCATTACTCAAAAGGGAAATCTTATAGCGTGGAGAAAACTCTGAAGCAAATGGAGAAGACAAAACGAAATTTTTCTGGAGAGAAGTAATTTGAACGTATACTTTTGAAAAAGGATGTATTCTGAGCTCCGACTTGAGCCTCAGAATACTGCTTCACGCATTTCTTTCTTACACGAGAAGTCTTTTTTATTTGCGAATTTCAATTTTCTACAAATTTGCGCAAAAACTCTCAAATATTTTTGAAGTTCAAGTTAGGCTTTAAAACCCATTACTCGCAAATTTTAAAAATCGAAGAGAGATCTTCTTCTAGGCCTTCAGAGAGTTTTTGAGCGAGTGTGTACGAAATTCCGAACCAAAAAGTGAAATTACCTCCCTTGTTACTCCGTTAAAAACCGTATTCTGAAAAAAAAAACCTTATATTTTTGCTAGAAAGTTGTCTCACGTGGCTGAAGGGCTGTTGTTTTGGATATAGATTGTCATGAGAATATTATCATAATTAGGGCTGATGTTTTGTCCGCTAATTAATTTTTTATCTCATGTTTTTCTTTTCAGAGGTGCACACGGCGCCACCAAACCCTGATATGAAGAAAAAAAAACTCGGGACTGGCTTCGGATTATTAATCAAGTTGCTCATTCGAACTAGAAAAGTTGGAGTTCGGAGCGACATAATATATATTTACGAAAATTATTCAGTTTTTACGGACTAGTGAACTCTTTTTTGGGTTTGAAGTTTCGTGCTGAATAGTAGTTCAGAGGAGTTCAGAAGAAAAAAAGAACCGAAATCAGATATCAAATGGTCCTATTTCCTTCTGGGACCGTTTTTAAAAAAAGACATCAATAATTAAATATTCAAATATTCAAATCAATAACAGATATTTGATTCTGAAGTTATAAGGACTGCGATGTGGAAAAAGCTTTGACTGTAACCTTTTTCTGAAAATTTTCAAAAGCTGTTTTTTTTTCTATAAAGCACATGAACTAAAAAAGTTCGATGTTCGATTTTTCAAGAACTCTCGAATGTGATTTTCTTGAGATTTCAGACAGACTGCGAAAAGAAATAAATCACGAGAAAAATTGAGAGATTCGAAAGTTGTTTGAAACTTGTCATCTTTTTTGCGTGTTCAAATCACCTTGGAAACTTCAAAACGGTGATAAGTGTTGAATCGATTTAATGCTTCACGGAAGGACTTTTAGGAAAAACATTTTTGACTGAGATAAAAATCTAATTAGAAAGTTGCGCAAAGGTGGGAACGAAACTAATGATATTCGAGCACGGCAGTGACTCGGAACGAGGGGCGTGGGTATTTGGGAGCTCGGCGAGTTGCTCAAGCTCACGTCGCATAGCGACTCCTCAAGCCCGAAGTTTGTGAGGCTCTCTTCGGAGTCGGGGTTTAAGAAGTTCTCTGTATCAACTCAGGTTTTTCCAACAGCTGAAAAGTGAACATACGTGGACACATAAAAGAAAGAAGGAGAACCACTGAATCATTCTCTACCGACTGCAGAGATTTTCGAGAGCATTCAGTCTGTAGAGAGAAGGAGATTTATGATTGTGGTATACGGTATGGAAGATGTATTTGATGTGGCATGATGCGTAAGAGTTGATATTGTGACGCATGAAATTGGGGGAGAAAAGTGCAAACGAAGAATAAATAAGGACAACTCTTACTTAGAAAAGAAACGAAAAAGCTGTTATTGAGACGTTTCATCGTGGTTTGGAGGAAAATAAAGCCACTGAGCGATGCCAAGGTATGATTAATGATTAAAAAAGTCGAAAAACGTATTTTGTAATGGAGAAGAACGAGTCAAGATTGATCTGCTGTTGCGTTCGATAATAACTTTCAACATGATGGAAAATGTCAAACAACGGACCAAAGCTTGCTATTCTAATTAGATACCTACTATTTGTTAGGATAATTTATTCTTGGAAGTCTTTTTCTCATCAATCTTCCTATCGAACTCAAACTTGAATCGTAGAAAAGTGGTTCAATAAAGTAAGTTGTTATAACTCCTCAAAACCCGCAAATCACACAAAGAATTGAGAAGAAACTTATTTGAAGAACTTGAAGCTTTATAATCCGGGAAATAAATCTATTGCAAAAAAAGGTTACTTGTCCTGAAATAAGGAGGTCCTAAAGAACTTTCCAGCCAAGTTCCAACAGAAGTTGAAACCGTGCCTGAAAAAAGTTTCCTTGTAAAAGTTTATCTCTTTTTTCAACATTTTTTCCATTAATAAACAGTTTCTCGCAGACGATTATCAACTCGCATCGAGTTCAAGTATGAAGATGACTGATTGAAGTCTTTTTCGCGTTTCAGGAAGATCGAGTACGGCTCCTGCGTAAGAAAATCGCTTTTTTATCTCAAAAATTCTCGAGACAAGATCCGATTTATTCCTCCAACTTGAATCGAAAAAAAATGTCAATTTCTGACCGAGGTGAGATCTCGTTTCAAAATGCCTCAAACTCGAGACGAGATTGATCGAGTCGCGTGGATCCCTGTATCGTATCGTTTTTCTTGTTAAAACCCATTTTTCGATGGCTCAAGCCAGCCGTGAATCAGCTATGCGTCTTTTTATTTTTTTTTAAATGGTTTTTTTGGCTTCAAATCTATTTTCCATGCATTTGAACCCGTTCTGTTAAGAAGGTTAAAATCTTCGAAGCTTTATTTATTTCATCATGTGCTTCGGCTAGTTTTGAGACAAATCCTAAAAACTAAGGTTAAATTTGTCAGTTTAGATTTTCATCCTTGCCTCAGATACCAATGACCGATTTTTTTTCGTTCGAGAGTCGAAAATTGATCAACGATACTGGGCACTGAAGTTCGACCACCACGCGTTTCTGAACTTCTAATGTTGTCTTCTGTACGTTGACGTCATTTTCGCCCGCAAACAGGCGAGAAGAAGACACCCGATCACCAATCGGGTAATTCAAAACAACCATTTGTTTTGTTGAGTAGAAAACGAAACGAAGGTAGTCTCCGCCCACTTTTATCCCTTTAAATAATGCGGATTGTGCCGAATCGAAATCAAGTCTTTCACTTGTCTTCTATCACTTATCACTAACCATGCGGTTCGCTCTTTTCTCTCTTCTGGTCCTCCTTGCCGTCGCCTGCCTCAACGCTTTGCCGATGGGATCCGCTGGTTAGTTTTATTTTTTTGAAATCTCTTCTATCGGTAATTGCATTGGTTTTATTCGGATATAAGCTAACAATTATCATACCTTCTGAAATTCAAGTTTTATCAGCTTCTAAGTAAAGGCTAAAAATTTAAATTGCCAAATAAACTTGGCTTCTGAGTTTTTGTGTAAAACCTGAATAAAATTAAGTTTTTGATATTCAACTATTTGGGATAATTTTCTTATTGAATGGCTCTAAACGTCGTCTCAGCCCTCAGTTTTTTTCTTTCTTCAGCAGGACTGACGAACGAAGGCAGCATGGGCGGCGCTGGAGCAGAACACGACCGCGAGCCCCGTCGCGGAGCCCTGGGCAACGCGATGCGCGGAGCTCTCGCCGGAGCCGCCGTCGGACTCGCCGCCGGAAAATAAACCAGCTGACTATGTACTATAATTGCACACTTCAACATCATCACCCAAAAATTTTGCCATCCAACCTTTTTCTGCTTTAGTCGCGCTTTATCTCGCCAATAAATTTTATTCTCTTAAATACAACATTAAAAGTTTGTAAATGGAAAATGACACATAAACCCAAGAAAAATATAGATATTTATGTGCTTAACAGAACATCGTAACACATAAAATTTCGAAAGTCTATATTAAAGCATATTTTTCAATGAATCGAAACCTCTCAGTTACTCTGGGAGCTTTATAATTAGAACACGTACAGAATTATACCCTGCATAATGTAAAAATATATTTCAAAAATTCTTTGAGTTATTTTTTTATGGAAGGGAAAGATTCGGAGTTGAGAATTATTTGCAGAATCAGGTTTTCAAACGTTTGATGCCGTGCGGTTGAATTTGAAATGTCAACATTCGAATGAAATGGAAACGAAAAGACACAAAAAAAAAAATTAATCTTGGGAAAATTTTTGAGTTCCCCATTGATGACTTTTTTGTGTTGAATTTCGCAACGAGAAGACAAAATTGTAGCCTTTGAAGCTTGTAATCTTGCCACCAAAGATCTAAAAGCTCAAAAAGTTTTGAAACTTGAAATAATCACTAAGTCTCCAAGATTTGAGTTTTTTTTTAGTTTTTTTGCGAAAAACCTGTTTTCAGAATCTCCAAATTTTAGAAAGCACCGTCCCAAATCTCTAAAAACTTTTTTAAAGTTTTTTTCCGAGCGTTGGAGGAGGAAAATTCAACCTTGACCACGCGACAAGACCGAGTTTGACGAATTCTGTCTATTTTCGATTTTTCGTGTTAGATTGGCTCCTCCCATTCCTAATTGCCCGTACCTTTTACATAAGAGTCGAACTTTTTTTTGGAGACGCAAATATTTCCAACTAACAAAATGTTCGGCGTTATTTTTTTGCTGTGCGCTTTTTCCGTTTTTGGCTTTGCTGAGGCTCAGTTCTTTCCATACGGAGGCTACGGTACGTTTCAAAATTTGAGATATTCTTTAGTTTATTCTCATGATGGGGTTTTAGAAAATCTTGTTTCAAACTAGAAGCTTATTTGCATACCAACAAATTCGGAAAATTGAAGCTACAAAAGGCCGAATAAGTGGATGCCTGTATGCTACTGTATTCAAAAGCTATCCGACTCTTTGGAAAAATAAAGTAAAAAAGAATTCCTAAATCATTTCAAAACTTTCAGCTCTTTTTTGAGCGTAGACGTACAAGTAATAAACAGGCTCAAAACTCAAAGCTTAAACTTTTTGAAACTTGCTTTAATGTTCATTTTCTTTATCTGTAGCATAAACCATTTTCGGCTTGAATCGGCCGGCTGCGGCATTGCAACTCACGTGCAAAGCGTTCGTGATGCGTTTCTGGCGGCAATCTAAAAATTTTCGCATTTCTTGATATAGTCCAGTTTTCCTGTTGAAGATTACTTATAATAATATTCCGAGAAGGAGATTCTCTGGAATTTCATTTTAAAAAAGATAGGTCAAGACGACAAGAGTTTCCGAAATGCGATAATTTTTGAATTAGCGTCAAAACGCATCGCAAAACCATTGCAAATGAACTGACATAGCCGCACGTTGCCGTTCAAAGCAAAACAAACGGATTAGAAATAGGTTTGGCTGTCAAGACGCAGACGAAGACCGTTAATTCAGGAATGATGCCTCCACCAATGCCGCCTCCGATGTACGGCGGTTATCCTGGTTATGGAATGGGATACGGGGGCTACGGAGGCTACGGAGGTTACGGAGGCTATCCCCCTTACTACCGGTATAATCCCATCGGAGGCGCGATTCGTGGAGCTTTGACCGGCGCCGCCATCGGCCTCCTTGTTGGCAAATAACCAAACCAACGAAATCAGTAACTAGTCGCCAACTTTTATTTTTCTTTACGGTCTTTTCTCGCATACATCGACTTTTTCTAGACATATTCTGATCTCAGAACTTTTTCCCCCATCGCATACAGAACCTGGAACAAAAGTGTTGGTATTGTTCAGGTGTTTACTTTGTTTTAAAACTGGATTAGTTTTCTCAAAAGATTTTTAAACTTCTCCTTTGCTCTGTATCATATTGTATTCCATCCTTTTTTGAATCTATGGTGATCTTCAGAGCTGTAGTTTGAGCAAGAATAAAAGTTGCGATGATAACCTCACTACATACTTTTGCTCGGTACACAGCCTCTCTTATTCATCTAATGCATTTTTTATAAGCTCCTCCCTGAAAAAAGCGAAAAGGAAGTGAACTGAAATATGAAAAATAAAATTTCGATGCTCGTCTTTTTTGGTAAAAAGTGAATTTTTGGAAAACGAGCCCCTGTTGACGCATCCAGAGCAGAATATCGCATTTGCAAAACGTGAAAGACGTCTTTGATTAATTACTTCCCTCAAACTTCGTACCTCCGTCTCAAAATGGTCTTTTGGCTTCAAATCTATTTTCCATGCAGAATTTATAATAGTGAATTTCCTCTAGGGCTTCAAATCACATTTTTATATCAGAACTTTTTTTTTCTAATTCAGCCTTTTCAATGAGAATTTCTTGTCGAACGAAAAAAATGTCTGTCGAGGTGCAAGAAGCGTTTTGTGAAATGCGAAATTATGAAACCTAGTAAACTGGGACTTTTTATCAGATTGGAAAATGATCTTTCTTTAGAAGAAAAAAAAATTAATTCCTTAAAATAATTTTAACTTCGTTTCGACTAATTGTCCGCATTCCGCGTTCTGAAATAAAACATTTTGATGAGTGTAAACGAATTGAAAAGAAGAAAACAGTGGAAAATCGGTTTGCGAACTGGTTTAGTTCGAAACAAAAAAAGACTTTGTCTGCAAAACCAAGTTTTTTTCTTTGATTTCTGGTCATCGATGCTATTTTTCGAGAAACGAGAAAGAAACTGCGAGAACCTGAAATTAGGAAGAATTAGGAAGAACTGAAAAAGGAAAAATAAAAACGAACCAAATGGAGATTTTGAGGATTTTTTTTTCAGAACTAAAGGTGAAAAATCGCAGGTCTGAGATTGAGCAGTGCTACTCAGTTAGATGAAAATGGGAAAAATGTATTTGAAATTGCAGCAAGAATGAAAAAGAAGAACTGGACATGGGTTCGGGCGTCGCCAGTCAGAAGTCCCGACGTCTTCCAAACGCCGGAAAGTGGCGTCGAGCAAGCCAAGAATTAAGATGACGTCACATCCGGCCAAGAAAAAGTGTATGAAGGCGACTTCGTTCTCGAGAGCGATCAAGAAGAAAAGGCGGAATCGTCCTCATCGTGCAGCCAATCTCCCCCGACCTCATCGAGTTCGCCAGCGACGCCGCCGTTTCAGCAGCTGCAGTCACCGGTTCAGCCAGCCAGACGGCTTGAAAAATAATGGTCATCAACACTGAAAACAGAGTTTTTTACACACATTGCTAGTGGAAATGCATTTTTTTAAAAGAAAGATTGAAACCACCATTTTTTGCGTCAAAACAGGCGGAATGCTCGAAATGAAGTTCAATAACTTTTGCCTTGCAAAACTCTATTAGCGCTCAAAACTTAGAAACTTGTTTTAGAAATTAAATATAGTCAATTTTTCCCGACTCGAAATGCGAAAAAAAAGCGAGGGAGGCAGAGAAAGAGGCGGGACGCGTAGCGTGTGCTTATGCGGTTCTTGGCACGAGTTCAATTCAATCGGCAGCGACTATTTTGAGAGCTCGTTTATCGCTCTTTTCATTCGTTTTTTTAAAATTATTGGTTGATTTTTATTTCATCTGCGCATTGAAAAAAATAGTAGAATTAAAAAAACTCTGCGTTTTTTTCCCATGTAACAGAAAAAAATATTTATTTTTCAGGAAGTACAGAAAAAAAGCTCAAATGTTGGCATCCTCCTTTTGGGTATAGTCAATGTTTCCCGACTTGAAAGACGAGGGAGGCGGGGCAGGGGGCGGTACGCGTAGCGTGTGCGTTCGCGGTTCTTGGCACGTGTTCAATTCAGCCGCCATCTACTCTTTGAAAAGCCCGTTTTTCGCTCTTTTGACTTCTTTTTTCAATTCTTTATTGATTATGTTCATATGTGCATCAAAAAATAGTAGAAAACATTGTGAAAGAGCGCTTGCCGAGTTTTTTTAAATAGCCGGCGGCGATTGAATTGAACTGGCGCCAAGAACCGCGAACGCACACTCTACGCGTCCCGCCCCTTTCCCCGCCTCCTTCGCCTTTCAAGTCGGGAAACATTGACTATATAAAAGCAACAAAAAACACGGAAAACCGGTACGAAGTTATGTACATCGAGTGAAAGAAATAATCTTTCAGTTCTTATCCGTGTTAACTGAAATGCTGGAGTTGTTGCGGCGACCGTAAAAGAGACGGACGAGCTTTCGCACGGGAGCTGGCACGGGCCGCGCTTGGGATTTCCGCTTGGGCACTGGGGAGCAGTTGAAATAGTGAACTTTGTTTGAGTTGTCGACAACCACTCCGAAGTACTGAATACAAATAATTGAAAAATGCAATCCCCTAGCTCTCCTTCAGTATCTACCGGTAGCTTGGAGAAAAACGATCAGAGCAGTATAATTGTCTGCTCTGATTTTTTTGATTCGTTTTAAAAATATATATCACTTTGGCTTCATTTATTGTTACAATTTGGTTAAACTCTGTTATTCGCTAACTTTAAACAAAAGGTTCATCAACGTTTGGAAATAGCTCTTGATAAATGTTGTCTCAACCAACGATGAACAAGTTATTTGGTCTCAAGCCATGTAGAAAACCTCAAACGAACCGTTTTTTGATGAGCCATTGAAGGAGAAGTTGAAAATAAAGAGGAAGAAGTGATAAGTAACTGGTATGTAGCTTGAGAAGCTTCTGATTTTTCTGTAATGCCACGAAAAGCTTAAATATAAGAGAGAAGTGGCGAAGGCGGAGCTAAACCGTCAGGTGAGTCAAAAATCCACAGACGAAAAATGGGCGTGGGCGAGCAGGAAAAACACGAACAGATCTATTTCAAGTCGAAGCGAAAAGAATGAACAAGTGGGTTTTCAGTTTTGTTCGAGAACGAAGAAGCTATCGATAGGTGCTTTACAAAGATCGCGTCTTCAGTTTTGTTTGCCGATCCCTTTTTTCGTGAATTTTTATTTTTCGACTTTAAAAATTGAATAATATAACGTATAACGCTTGAGGGAAGCCTTCGCCCAAAAGGATAAACAGAGAAACGGTTTAATGATAAGAAATATTCATAAACTTCTGGAGAAAAAAGTAACAATCGGAAAAATGGAACAAATAAAATATTTGAACTGTTGGTTTGGAAAAAGACCTCTATCTGGAAATTTTTAGGGGATGTTTAGGAAAACACAAACAATTGACAAATTTTCAGAAAAAGTTTTATTTCCAAGGATTTTTCAGAAAGCCCTGAAATAAGAAGCAAGGCGATAAAAGTGTCCCCATTATTGAAAATAGTAAAAATGAACAAAAAAAAACAACAGTTTTTACAATTTTCCTGTCTTCCTTTTTTTAGATTGTGCAAGTGTATCAAAATTCCTTCATTTTTTTTTTGAATTCAAGTTTTTCACTTCATTTTCTCTCTTTTAACTATGTTATTATGGTTATCGTTCCTGAAAGAGAAGGCCCATAATCTGAAATCTTGGGATTCCTCTCCATTCCCCAAACAAATTCGTGTCATCTGTTTTGCGTTAAATATAGGAATGGTATACGAAAGAGTGGAGATTCTTCCACAAACAGAAAAAAACTCGAGACTTTAGCATGAGAGGTTTACATAGCGTTCATCACCCAGATTTTCGATAACAGCAAATGGAAAATTTTATTTTTTCGAAAGCACGTGAACGGATAGACGAGGTCTGGGTTTGAAAGTTTTCAGATTGAATACTTTGGTAGAGTTTTTCAGTAATACTGAATTATTTTTCGAAATCATGTGATATCCTCATCTGTACTAATGAAACTATGGAGAACTTCGATAGTTGTCTTGGAATGATGCCAGGCTTGTGCGAGGGCCGGCCCGTCACCCTCCCGGCCCCCCGACCATTTTGTAAGCCCGGCCCGGCCCGAATCGCCCAATTTTTTTCTAATCGGATATCAAGTTTTTTTTACGACAGAAATTACGTTTTTTTGCTCATTTTTTTCTATTAAAGTTTAACAAAAAAACTATTATTTCAGAAGTAAAAGTCACATTTCGGTGAAAATTTTTTAAATGAAATTTTAAATTTTTTTTGAAGCCCGGCCCGAGCCCATGCGGGCTTTTTCCTGAAAAAAAGGCCCAAAGCCCGGGCCGCCCGGCCTGACGCACAAGCCTGAATGATGCCAATAGCTGGGGGTGTCGAAAATGACGTGATATGAAGAGGAGAGCGAAACCTCTCGAAACATATGTACTTGTCTCTCCGTCGCCTTCCCATCAAACTTTTTTCTATTTGTCGATGATGTCCAAGCAAACGACACACGTAACTTTTCCTTTGAAGTGCCGGAAGATATCTTCGTTTTCTCACACCCACGTTGGAAGGGATCTGATAAGATGTACTCATAAACAAATGTGAACCGACCTGAGAAGGTAAATAACTTATTAAGAGAGAATTCGAACAAGATTTCATGCGTTGAAACATTGCCAGTTCGGAGAGACGGAGTTTTAGGTTTGAATGGGTCTAACAATTTTATTCGTAGAAATCAGGATAAATTTCGAAAAAGCGAAAGATTTGAGAAAAAAGTTTTTCGGGTAATGTTTTGTGAACAGAGAGAGGAAAGCTCTATAAAAATGGAAACGAAAATGAGGCCTTGCCCTTTTGACTTCTCAAATAGTTTTAAAAAACCGTAAAGTTTTTTGTAAGTCTATAACTCTATGAATTCAAAAGTTTCGAGGTTTTTTTTCGCAAGGTGGCGTCAACTCAAAAGTTGACGAACCGGTCGGTTTTGAACGGGCAACTATGGCACTGCCAAATCCGCGAGTTGGCCTACCGTAGCGCAGGCAAATCGTGTTTGTGGGCTATTTCGCGCACTCATAGGAACCTGCAATTAAAGAGTTACCTTGAACAAGATCCCGCAAAGGCAGCTGCTTCTAACCTTTCGTTTCTTTCTTGGCTTACTTCACTTCCTTGACCTTCGCTTTGTTAGCACTAAATTTCTTTTAAATGACTCAGAAAAGAAATTAAACAGACTAAATAATCTACGAGTATTTTTCCTCATAGTTTTTGAATAATTTAATAAGCTCTTTCCAAAAAAAATTTTTTACAAAGTTTTTTTTCCTATTTTGGTAGCACTCGTGTCTAAGTACCGAGGTTGAACATTTTTGGAATTCGAGGGAATCGGGCTGTTTGTAACGAGGAAGTCATATTATTCCAATTAGACATATAAAACATAGTCGAAAAGGTATTTCATTGGTAATGACATTGAAGAACAAATGTGCGGACTGGTTACCTGGACCTGGGAATCCGTCGACGGCAACCGGTCATCCTTCCAACTCTCTGCGATTCCCTCATTCCGGTGCTTTGGTCCGCCCTCTCGCCTTCACGGCCACTTCTCCTTACTTTGTCGGGTTTCCACATCATTCCCAACCTCCCATGCTGCATCTCATTTATACTTCCGAATTGATATGAAAAAAAAAACTTCTTCCCAAGTTCGTACTTCTCAAAATCAGTTAAGCCTTGTCCTTTTCCTGGCTTTAAGCCTCGGGATATGGGCCTTCATTGTTGAGAAGTTTGCATTCACGAACCTTTTTGGCGTGCATTTGCAAAGAACAGGACGTAGATAAAAAATATATCTTCGTTCAGATACTTTCCATTTCCCATCTCTTTCCCTCTTTTATGCTAATGACTATCCGTGTAAATGAAAAATAGGAGTACAGAAATTTTTCGATTTTATGTTTAAAAATTAATATAGCCTTTAAATAAAACAAGGTCCATTCGCCGCTAACTTCAAAACAAAAAAGGGGCAAAAACGTCAAAAAAAATCTCTTTTTTAGTACATGTTTTGCTGGTTGTGTGAACACCCTATTTCGAAATTCCTCAAACTCGGAGTGATACTTATCAAACAGAAAATCATCGAAATGAAAAGCTAAATCTTCATTATTTTTTAAAAACAGTCATTTCACTGTAGGTTCCTTTGAAGTATACTTTCTTGACCGAAAGGGAACAGCTTGAGTAGTTTGGAAGAAAAAGATGAAACAGAAAAGCTAGAACTTCTAGCCTAGAAGGCAATCGTGGGTATATTTTCAAGAGCAGAGTAATTGACGGAGACAAAAAAAAGTTAAGATCGCCGAAAACTCTTTTTATTTTTACCGTAACAACAGAATGCCATCCTTCGACGATTCAAGCTACAGAGTACAATTCATCTTTCACAGGAAGTCTCAGAGGAGAAGAATGATCGGTGGTTGGTGAAGGATGAGCCCGTTTCCGGTCGGCCGGCCGAATAGACGCCTAATAGAGCCGCGTGTCGTTGCGATTACCTTGTCCCCCGGACTGAATTGCGTCCTCCTTTATTGGCCCTTGATCCACATACCCCACGGAGCAATAACTCGCTTTGTTGCCAACTTTCGGCGGCCGTCCTGCTTTCGTATTCCACGACGGAATCACATTTGAGCCGCCCATCATGTTTCCTCGGCTCTTCACTCGGTTCGGACCACCACGTTCTGGACCGCGGCTATTCAAGCGCCGTCTTCTTCATTAGCGCCTCGGTCCCAAATCTCGGACCTCTTCCGCAACCTCGGCTTCCTCCTTTGCTCTCTCTTCTTTTCAAGTTGTTCCATTTCATATCTTCTTCTGTCTTCACTGCGTCAATGTTTCCATATCCAAATCCTTCTCCTTTTTTGTATATCTAAATAACTTTTTTGAAATGAAACCTGTGAAGAAATATTTTGCTATCTCAGCAAGTCTTTTCGAATTAAGAGAAAATAATAATGAAAGTTTGCAGAGTCTTATTAGCTTTAAGTCTTTTCTTCAAATTTCCCGATTTCTTGATGTAACGCAACTCTGATGTTTATGAAAAATTTCATGATTCAGAAGCGGAGGAAGTATGAAGACGACGCTGAAGACGCTGTTCGTTGGATTTCTCCTTCCTCTGGCAACTCTGGCCATCGAATGTTACACAGGAAGTCAACTCCAGGTCAACGACTGTCCGTCCCTCTCTTGCATCAAACAAACTCTCGGACTGGATACGGTACGCTCTTTCTTTCCAAACTCTCTACTTCTATTTCCAAAATCTCTCAGACTTTTCTCAGCTCTGAACTAAGAGGTGTCATTTCAAAGACTAGTACCCTCCCATTACTTGGTTTGGCGACCTTTGACGAAAAGATCCGTAGAGGTCATCGGCAGAGAGAGAAAGAGAAAGGATTCTCGTTATTCGAGTAATTCCCAATCAGACAAAAAGCCGGCGGCCCAATTTTTGCCTTTTCGCTTCGCAAATCCGTTTCCAAAGAGTGTAAGAAGAGCTTTTCGGCAAGAAAATATAGATTTTTCATAGATTTGGGCAGATATTCTGACCGAACCAGTCAGCTTTAAATCAAAAGTCCGCATAATCTGAGCGAAGGGTGTGTCGCAAAGAAATTGCAAGTCTCTATAAGATTTGAGCGGCTCAAAGTGAAGCCTTTGACGACAAAGGAATGCGAATTTGCATTCGAAAAGGCGTCGTCAGGCGCCCGACGGAAATGTCATGAAACGCGCCTCTTATTGTGCCTTTCAACCAAACAGTCTCTACTCGAACCGACACAGTTGACTACGTGTTGATTCGTTCTGAAGCGTTGGGGATTACCTGGACTTACCTAAAAACCGGTTCATATGTATCCTCCCGTTTTTAACAGTACTAGGGACCGAAGGTAAAAAAATAACCTTCTGCTTGTCAAAAAAATCGCGACAGGACATCACCTTTTTGACAAAAAAAGTTTACTATATAAATTGGAACCATTCTCTGGTATTTTCCTTCTTGTTCTTTTTTTATTCATTCAATGGTTACTTCTAAAAAAACTATAAAAAGGTTATCAGTTTTAAAAAAATGATTTTATTTTCTCTACTTTCCTTTTTAATTCGAAAAAAACAACTGCGTTTCACTTTTTCATGTTTTAAACCTGCCACATAGAAAAGGACGTGAGGCTTTTCTAATGATAAACCTTTCATAAAATCGAAAAGAAATTTAAAAAGTCACGTAGCAAAACTCCGAGTTTTAACTCATTTGTTTCAGATTTGAGAAACGGATCTAAATTTTCATGAAGTTAAAGTTAATTCACCGTTGATTAGTAAAAAGAAAAACTGGAAAAAGATATCAATTTGAAAGCAAAAATGGAATATTTTCTTGAAGCATAGCCTGAGGAAAACTGTTCAAACTGTGTTATTTTGCGAAAGAATCAGTCTCGAACTCTATGCTTCTTCAATCTCACACTGAAACCGACTATTTGCAACGCCTGTTCAGGTGAGGTACTGCGACGGGACTGGAGTCTCCTCGATCTGCCAGACCTACCGCATTTTCGAGTCCTGCGACACGATCCCCAACCTCGGCTTCATCTGTTGCTGTACAGGAAATCTTTGCAACACCGTCGGGACCCCATTTTCTCATATTTCTTTCATTTCTCTGTTTGTTCTAGTGACCTTGGCTTTGTTATAACGTTCCCGTGGCTTTTGCTGTTTTCAGACCCGTTGAGAACTGACGGGTGCTTCGCCTTCTAGTTGAACAGCTACGAAGTAAGGTTGAGGCTCAAATAATGTCTGACCCTGTATTTCAACGTCAGAAACTATGTTTTTGATCACAATTCGATCTGATTTTTGACTAAACGGAAAACGCCCTCCTTCACGTTTTAAGCTGTTCTGATATGGGTTTTTATCAAATTTCAGAGAAGTTCATTGATTAGAGCGAATAAAATGTTGTTCTGAAGCGATTTTTTTTCATTGGTAAAATGTGTGAACCCATATTGTATAAATAAGAGTAATTGTTCGAAAAGACTTCTTCAGAATCCAGAAGGCACCTGGTCGGTTCGACGGCGGTAGTCTCCGCAAGCATGGATCCCATCTTCCCTGCAACAAAATCCCGCCTTCCTCCTGTTTTCATTCTTAAAATGAACCTGGTCTCAATTCCTTGAATGATTCCTTCGAAGCCTGTCGTGTTTCGGAACTTTTGCGAGAATTGGTTCTCAAGGATCGCTTTCACTTCCTGAACCAGATATGTTAAGCAGAGACTCGAACTGAATTGACCTTTGGGAATTGATCATCGAGCTGCGTGATGTCTGGCGTGAACTGATTGTGGATCATTGGCGCATCGATGGCGTTTTTCACAGAGTCTTTGAAAATCAATGTGCGCACGATCGCCTGCAATCGTGACTAAGCACCGAAATTCAAGATTTTTTGAAAACATTTCAGAATATTTTAGTATTTTTTTTCAGAAAACGCCGACTAAAAAATTTTAAAAGCGCTGCCGAATAAGTTTCTCAATTGTGGCGACTAGGATATTTTTTTGTTTTTTTCAGAAAAAAATTATTCATTTTATCATACCGATTCAGAAATCGAACAAAAAAAGCGGATTAAAAATTTTTTTTAAAGCCTTGCGCTTCTATTTTTGAGAAATTCGAAAGTAATTTTACACTATTTGCTACGAATTCGTGAGAATCCCACCTTTGCCAACGCCGAAATGATTTTTGATCCTCCAGAGCCTCCAATCACCATTTTCACCTAAAAAAAAAAACAGTCCACATCTAATCTAATTTTTGAACTGATACATTTTTCGTGAGGTGATCGAAAATAATCATCGGGCTCATGCTGCTCATCGGCCTTTTTCCCGGCTCAATGAAGTTGGTCTCCGAGGGAGCAAAGCCGAACCTGTCCTTCTAACTAGTTTCGGAGTTTTTTGCTTTAGCTGACCCATTTTCCATCCCAGGGGTACTGAAGTCGTCCATCTCATCATTCCACAGTATCCCGTAGGCTTTTGACTCGACTGCAGCCCCGAACCTTTTCTGAACAGGTAGAGCCTTCTCCAAAACATGTAGACTACCATCGGTTGATGGTGGTGGTGGCTGAGACTCCATTTCCATACTCGTCGAGAACCGAAACATGAGAAGTGCCATGGTCAGGAGTCTGTAAAGTCCGCAGATGACCCGGGATATCGATAACTGGGACCTGATATTGTGCGATTCCGCCGTAATTCTTGGACGGCTGAGCGTGGTCCTTCATCCTTCTGATGACCCAGTCGGTGTAGGCCGGCGCCGTGAGGTTCTGCGACCGGCTGAGAGCGTCGTCCACGAAGTCGTGGTCTCCCAGTAACGTTCTGAACTCTTCCGAAGTTCTCGAAAAGTTTCTGGTCTCACCTCTGAGCGTATGCAAACTTCATCGCTTCGATGTATTTGTGGAGAACAAGAGGTTCATCGTAGATATTGTGTTTATGTCCTTCAGGATACAGCTCTGCAGAGAAATGTTGTGGTAAGGATCGTGGGGAGAAGGGGAAAAAGGAGGGAAACCAATATTGAAGGAGACTTGGCTTGAAAGAAAAGTATTTCGTTTGGTTTGTGTTCACGGTCCATTCTATTTGAAATATGGGCAGTCTAAGTTTCTTTGATTGCATTGAAAAGGACTCACTGCTCATGACGGAGACGATCAGCTGAGTGACGGCGAAGGAGGACGGCGGGGGCCCTCCGCACATGGTCAGGCTGTCGCGGAAGTGGGAGTTGGCCACGAGGTCGGTGTGCTCCCGGACCTTGTAGCTGGCAAAGTCCTTCTCGGTGATGAAGCCTCCTGAATGGTTTTCGTAGAACGGTTCCGTCAATGCTTTGCTCACCTCCCTCCTTGAACTCGTCGGCCATTACCCGCGCCATTTCGCCATGGTAGAAGAGCTGCACTGGATCTGAAGAGTGCGCGATCCTTTCCAGAGTTCTGGCCAGCGTCGGCCTTCGTAGTATCTCGCCCTCCTTGTAGGTTTGGTTTGTCGCAGGGTTAATCCAGTGGCTGAAAATGGACCGACTGAATCATAAAACTGTGGTGGAACTCACCGGACGCTCGGGAAAAGTCGGAAGTGACGCTCCTTGACTCGCATCACGTAGTCCAAATACTCAGACACTGGGTGTCCGTACCTTGCCAACTTCACGGATGGTAAAACCAACTCTTTCCATTCGACTTTCCCTGAAAAAGAGAACATGAGGAAAAAAAACCACAAACAAACCGGATCCATAACGCTTGTAGGCATGCCAGTAGCCGGCCAGTTCTCCTGGGACACCAGCCGCCGTAAATCCTGGAAAACAAAAATTAAAACAAAATTTGTAAACGTTTTTTTTCAGAAAGCAAGTTGGAGCCACCGACCGTATTTAGAAGCATCGGTGTCGTTGATGAACATGTTGCGCGACGCGGCTGCAGGAGCAGACTCGCGGGCGTCGATCGACATGCACTGACCACGGTTTCTTAGAATCATCTCAAATTTCTCCGCAGCCGAACCAAGGTTACTTGCTGTAGAAGGTGAGGAGGAAGCCGCCGCCAAGTCCAGACGACTGTGGATTTACCACGCCGATACAAAACATAGCAGCAATCGCGGCGTCGATCGCATTTCCTCCTTTTTTCAGCACTTTCCTGTCGGATATACTCATTACAGCTTCAGTACGTATTTACGGCGAACTTGCGTACTTTAAACCTTCATCAACATTTCTCATTCAACTTCGAAAAAAAGTGAAAAAATCCTTACTCGCGAAACTAACGATCTGTTTCACTTGAAAAACTGCGGGCAGCTTTTTTTTAAAGTTCAAATAAGTATAGTTAATTTTTAACGACTTGAAAGGCTAGATGGGTTGATTGGCAAGGGTGAAGCGTTGCGACGAGGGTATCGGCGGAAAACTCGAGGTGAATCATGCAAAAAATGTAGAAAAATTTAGTTTAATATCTTTTTTTACATATTTATTCGTGCAATTGAATCTTTTCAAACCCATAAAGAATTACAATGTATTGTGAAAGTATCGAAAAAGAGATCGTGTTTGATTTCAAGATCCCCGGCAAACGTCGTGTCGCACACGCAACGCTTTCCCCTTGCCTAGCAGCCCCATTCAAATCGGGAAGGATTGACTATATCGGGAAATGCTCCTACCCGCCGATATCCGAGCACGCAGCGTTGTCGGTTGTGATGGCGGCTCTGGCGAACCGCTTCTCAACGGAACCGGAAGGCGGGGGCCAGTCGTACTTGGAGGACCGGCCATCCTGCAGAATACCCTTCTCAGGGAAGTTTTCGAATGAACCCACAGCTGTCGTGAGGCAGAAAATGCCGAAAAAGCAGAGAAGAACGAACTTGGCGGTGATACCCATCGAGAAGACGACCGACTAGGCGGCGAGCCTGCAGTTTTTGTTTTGAAATCGGAGAAGATCATCTATGAACTGCAATCGAAGAACAGAAACTCGATACAAGCATCAAATCAACAGTTTTCCGAATCAATGTTTTTGATTATTCTGTGGAAAAAATCAAACTTTTCGGTCTCTGGATTACAAAAGGAAGTAACAGAAGGCGCAAAAAGTGATATAAAAAGAGAAAACTTGCGGTGAACCTAACAGGAGATTCACATTCAAAAAGAGTTTAAAAAAAGAAATGAACCTTGATTTTTTACGTTCGAGAAACTTAATATTTTACAGGATAAATCGAAATTTAACAAGAAAAATTATAACAGATTCATTTCAAGGAGAGTCCTCATTTTGATATTTCGGGCCCTGGGAAAGATGTCTTGTTGTTTTGGTACTGATTCAAAGAGGATCAAAATAAACCGTGTATAAAAACAGTGGCAGGTAATCAATCACGTTTCCTCGGACCCAGGAATCAATTCTAATCAGTTTCTCTTCGGAAGGTTCTTCTCAATGTTTCAAGTTTTTTTTCTTATCTCACAAAGTTTGTTTGAGGCGAATTTCAATGAACAGAAGAAAGGATAAATCTCTCTGACACAAAAGAAAGCCAAAATGAGAGACATTTCTTTGAGAATAGTAAATGAAAGAAGAGATTTTCTAGGAGAATGGCGATATTTGCGGGTTGACCCGTCATTTATCCAATCGTAGAATGATGGATAACCCCCAAAAATCAGCTTGATTCCCGCGATACGAATATCTTTCTTTAAAAAACGAAATTTTCTCTCTTAAAACGCGGTGATTTCCATCAAAAAAATTTCTTTTTTTGTTTGTTTTACAGATGATGGAACAGACTAAGAGACACAAATTAACGTTCTTCATTGCAAAGTTGGGGTTCTGATTGCTTTAGAAGTTCAAGTTGCGAATCTAAATCTTTTTCATAAAAGGCTTGTCTTAAAATAATTGTATTTTCCAACATTTTCGGACCTCCATGAGAGCCGTCAAGTTGGAGTGCAAAACTTTGTCTTTTTTGAGGAAGTTTATAGATGCTACGCTTTTCGAAGTAAATGACATAAGTAGTGCTGGGAAGAAGGAAATAGGAGTGATGGGAAGGAAGTTGTTTGCGTGGAACGCGTGTTCCACCGGAAAAAAGGCAGCCGGACGGCGCCGAAAATGTATTTGCTCTCCGATTTCTGGAGTAGCCGGCGACGGCAGGCGTGTTCCTGTCGACAAAAGACACGCTTTCTAACTTTGGTTCCGTCCCAGTGATTCATGAAAAATAAGATATTCCAAAAGGCAGTTCTCTTTTTCGCAGGGTTTTGACAAAGAAAGATAAAACCATTATTCCTTCTCAACCAAATTTATAAAATGCAAAGCGGAGATGCTGTTCACGATGTGGTTTAGCTAAACCCCAAATAGGAAGAATTGCAGAATTTTGAAACTTTGAATTCATTTTTCGTAAAAAGGAACGTGAACTGATGGATTAAAGGTTGCAAACAAATCAGAGGTTGTGATGAGTAGTTGGATCCGCGTGGAAAAAGGGAACGACCAGCACAGAGACGCGACAGTTAGAAGCCGCGGAGAGAGTCTGTCTTTCTCTCGTCTTCTGTGCCCTCTTTCCCTGCTTGAATGTTTCTCGACGATGTTCAGCGATGACGTCATCTGTCTCGAAGTTCTTTATCATTAACAACGCGAACACATGAAGTTTTTTCAAGCCAAAAAGAAAAGGATTTCAGTTATTTTCTAGGGTTTCCTTTTTGGACCAAAGACTTTGGTACTCCTTCTAGAAAGCAAGTGAGTTATCGGATTAGTTTTTTTTGGTTTTCTGTTTTTTTTTTTGTGAAAAATGAATACCGAAATTATCTAGATTTATGAGTATTCTAAATCTTAAGCTTACAAATGGTAAGCCAACGAAACTGATGAAAGATTTCGCTCCCAGACAATGTGAACGACTCGACTCAATAGCAAATTGAAGAGAAGGAAAATCAGAACAAACACCGCTCAAAAGGATAAAAGCTACTAGAAAAACTTAGAATCCAAAAAAAAAGAAACTGATAAAAGATTTCGCGCCTTCTGTTCATCGCCTTTGGCCTTTGACTTTGTCACGGCTGAATTCAGTCCAATTCGAAAAGTTTTTTTAGCATTTGGAACGGATTTTAATTTATACTTCTCAATATATATGAAGGTGATAGATGTATATACGGAAAAAATAATAATATTTTCACATGAATATTAATAAAGAAGGTGAATTTTCATCAGAGACTTTGATTGCACGTGAGAGTTTTTTTTCTGATGTTCCGACAAGGGCCTTCTTATGCATAAACTTCGGGTTTTCTCTTCTAATTTTTTTAGGTTTTTTTTCCTTTTTCAAATTAATTTGCACCAATTATTGATTGACCAGATCTGTGCCTTTTTTTTAGAAAGTCTTCGTTTTTGATGTAAGTATGAAATGGCTTTTTTTTCGTAATAAATATAATTTTTCAACTGAAACATCGTGCTCTGTTCCACTATACTTTATAGATCCATAAAGTATGTATTTGGCCCTTTTTTTTCTTTTTTCACTGTCAAATGGAATGTCACATAACACGCTTTTTCTCTCTCTCTTCAGGGGAAATAATCAGAGAGTCAAAAGGCCGAAGTTTCGGCGGTTCGACGAATAAGCGAAGAGCATCGTCGAGTGGACCTTGTCCGCCTTCTGCAGCTTCGCTGAGCGCAGAATCTGTTCCACGGTCAGGATTTTTCGCGAGTTGCAAAAAGCGCAGCAAAACTGCACGACCTCGGCGAGGCTTCTGAAAAAGTTTCGTGAGTGAAACAGATTTCTTTTAGTTTCGGACTTTCAACAACGACTCAAAAAATTACCTGCATCTATTGCACTCGAGAGTTTTGCCACAAAGGACCAAAAGTCCGCCGCAAAGTGTGAAGAGCTTCAAGTTTTTATGTTAGTGGAAAATACTTCTATTTATGACTTCTTGATATTTCTATGGTTAACTTTTCTTCTTTTTTTATAATCAAGAACGACCTGTGCTTGTTCGTCCATTAGCTTTCCAAGGCAGACGACGTCCCGTCTCTCGTAACCGCAAGAGCATCTCCAACTTCTTGTTGAGGCTCGTGAAGTTGAGTGCGACTCACCGGATGGAGACGGTGTTAGTGAGACGTCTTGGGTCGGACCCAGCCAGTGGCGGCAGCTCCAACGGCAGAACCGGCGGCACCTCAGATCGAAGAACTCCCGACGGCTTCCGTTTCAGAGGAAGCCAAGACTTGAAGGTCAGCTTAAAAGCTTTTTTTGGCGTTGCTTTAAATAAAGTTATAAATAAGGCTCAAAAAGGGTTTTTTTTTCAAAATGAAAATTTACCTGATGAAGGTTCTTGACCTTACTGGCGAAAAGCTGAGTTGGGAACATCGGGCTCTGCGATGTGAGTCCTAGGATCATGACCATCAACAAATGCGTTTAATTGAAAAAAGGAAATAGAGGAAATAAAAAGACTTCTCAAAAACAAACTTTGATACTATACAACATTAAGGAAAACCTAAAATTTTCACGAAGAAAATCTGAAATGAAAAGGGAAATTTTCGGCTGGGGCGTCGCAAAACTCAAAACATAACATTTCATTTCTCGGATATTTTCCAGTTTTCAGCGACATTTTTTTTTCCTTTTTTCCCATCAGACGTTTGAAAACATATATCTCATGAGAAAACGAAAAAAAAAAGTTATGACTCCTTCTTTATTTTACCTAAAAATAAAGTTAAATTCAGTAGTTCGTCGAGCACTTTCTACATTAAGAGAATGAAAGCCAAATACGATCATAGGGCAAAGTCGGAAAAGGTGGAAAAAGGCTTTTTGGAAATGTTCCCTTTAGGGGGACAAAGGTTCCTTTTTTGCTGTCTTTTTATTCGATTTCATCGGCTGTTATGCACCCTTTTTGTGAGCCTTCAAAATCCCAGGAAAAAATGGAAGGCTCGATAAAGGGACTCTTTTTTCTGCCTTTTTGCTACCTTTTTTGAGTCTCTCCCTTTTAGCGGCCATTATCTACCATTCCGTTTTTGCCCGAGACGTGCATTTATTTCAAAACGAGCAGTTAAGATATCAAAAAAGTTTCCTCGTATTCTTTGGCGCGACATTTTACCATTTCTCTGCATTTTTAATGCTAAATCAGAGAAAAAATACCGAAAAAGCTCTGTAAACGATATTTTCCCATTTATACTTTTTCTTCGAATCCCTGGCCACAAGCCAATTGTAGCTCATCAAATTTAATTCGAAATAAAAAAATCTTAGTTTCTTTTTATGGGGTGTCAGTTCGCCCATTAATAATTTTTTTCGCGTGGTTTCGTCATCAGTGACGTAAATTTTATCTATAAAAAAAAAGTTTTTCAGATTTCCCAAAGTACTTCAACCGTTCCCAGAACCTGAGAACTTCTTTTCCGTCACACATTGTTGAAGAAAAGCTCAAATGGACATTTCTTTTGGAAAGAACGAGATCCGGACCCGGACTGTTTGAATAATTACGACGGGACAATCGACCATGTTCGCAAGTGACGGTCGTCGAGGAAATTTGAGCTTTCATAACACAGTGCCGCCCAGCTGATTGCTCTTTGCTCTCCCTTCTTTACCTTCTTCGTTTTGTTTTTAGTTTTCATCTTGTATAATAAAAAACAACCCCATATTTCTTTATCGTTCACCAACCTCCAGCCGATTTAGCTCAAAAAACAAAAAAATTTTCTTCGAAATTCCGTCTAATCGAATGTAAAAAAAAACAAGCCTTAAGAGTTCAAGTTTTAAAAAATGAAATTTTTTTGATAAAATATTCAAGACCAGAACTCGCCAAAAACAAAAATCTTTGAGAAATAGGATTAGTGCCGCCTGATGAGGAAGAAGCGGTGATAATGCGCCTTTTGCGAAGAGAGATGACGGGTTTCGAACGGCTGGTTCCTTGTTTATTTTTTTGTTTATTTTTTCCCCACGGGTCCATCATGCTAATCTCGACAGATTAGAAGGTATCGGCGCGGCGATCGGAAGAGAACAGTGGCACCAGACATTCCTGCTTCTTCACGGTCTCTCTACCTCTCTTTAAAATCATACTTTTTTTTTGAAAGGCTCCAGCAAGTTTTATTACAGAACCGTTTTCATTACATATTGTTTCTTAATATTTTATTCAAAGAATTTTAATCCTGCTCGAAGATTTTTCTTCGTATTTTTTTCCGAATTTTTTTACAGATTTTTGAAACTTTTTTTCATAAATTCTGTCAAATTATTTACGATCCCGATAGTAACTAGTTTTATCTGAGATGTGAAACCAATTTTGCTCCAATCAGACTTCCTCCCTTCCAAGATCAAAAAAATAGTCCGTCGGAGATTCGTTTGGCGTTCAGCCAAACTCGACTCTTCTCTTACTAAATCGAACCAAATGAAAAGTATGTGAAAATCGGTTAAAAATTTTTTTGTAATGGAAGAAAAAGACAGAAAAAAATTTTTTTGATTGTTTGAAAAAAATCAAATTGATAAAATTTTTTTAAAAAAACTTCCCACTCCACTGAAAGCTCGTTATGAAGTAACAATCAAAGTTTTGAACCGAAAGAGGTTCACTTATAACTTTCTGGACCAATCCGGAAGCCCTTTTTGAGGGGGAAAGAGCTCTTGGCGCTCATTCCAGCCCTGTTTGTTTTGACTGTGCTTTGTGTCTCAGGATTTGATCCTCCGATCCGGAAAAAAGCGCCATTCAGTCAATCCAAGCGGTCATCCGATCCTCGTTTCAATCTCCTCTTCCTTTCTCTTTTTCATTTTTTTTTCGCTTTCTTTTGTTCTTGGTGACCCGACTACCGTGTACCTGATCACTCATATAAAGCCATGAGATTCTCAATTACTGTCTTATAACTTTTGAAGATAGTTGTTTTATTTAAACGCTTTCGGTCCAGTTTGGCAACAGCAGGAGGGTAGTTATACATTTTCTGACGATGAAAAAAAATTCGGAGAAGTTTCGCACAAACTTTTAATTATTCTCTATTAAAAAAAGGACTCTTTAAAACATCGTTGTGAGTATAATACGAAAAAAAACTCAATTGCACTTGAAAATCGGCAAAAAAGCAGTTTTAAAGTTTCGTCTGCTGCTCACGTTTCTAGGCCAGTTTTTTTCCAGCTTTTATATATGTTATTAAGTTTCTAAGCGAGATCTTTTTACATCAGCAAAATCGTGTTCAGACTTGATTTTCGAAAAAAGATATAAAAATCTTAATTCGAAAACCAGATCTTTTGCAAAAAATGTTTTCTCCTTTTCCTGAGATCAGGAGAGAAAAAACTATCCCCAGTCAGTTTTTTGCACCGAAAGTTCTTCCGATTCAGGTCAGGAGCATGAGATGGGTTGTGCTGACGTCGCTGCTCGTCGCAGTCGCTGGAATCGCGACGCGAACCGTCGACTGGTGCGAATACTGGAGATTCCTCGGTCGCGACCACATGCGTCCGGAGTGCAACGGGATGCTGCGACTACGGCTCTCGCGACGAAGAGGTAAATCAACTTTCATATTTTGAGAGGTGAAGAAAAAAAAAAGCGAATCGATTTAAACAATAAACAAAATCGTATCCGAGTGGAGCACTTTTCAACTCGAAATTTTTTCCCGCAGTCTTTAGTTAGCCTCATCAGTTGAAAATACACTAACAAATCTGAGAGGACACACAGAATATCGATAGGCCAGGTTGAGTTTCGCTTCACTACTTTGTGAATATCTGGGTGAAAAGTATTTCTACTACTTTTTTTCTTAAATCGTTGTAATATATCGATAGGCTATATCGACGATAACACTTTGAAAACGTTTACTTATTTCGAAAAGAGTAGAACTCAAAATACTAATATTCTGAAAATGTCCTTTTTTATCCTCTTTTATTGTTTCAGCGTACGAATCCATACAACGACCGGTTCCCATTATCCCATATAAGAGCATCGTCGAAGTGAGGCCTTTCTCACAGTCGACGATTTTCGGCAAGTCTATTTTGTCAATTTACCTTGCCCAGTTTCAATTAAGCTACTGATAAAGAGCAAAAATCTCAGGCTCCTGTGGCGCAGAGCATTCGAATTGTCGCGACTCTGGACTCTGTGTCGGCGGACATCTTTGCGTCGATCGCTCCGGCTATTGCTGCGCTAGAAAAATGTTCGTAGATTTGAAGATGTATTTTTGGAATAATCTTTCAGGAAATTTGCCAGTGCAACTTTTTTTTTTCTTAAAAATTTTCAAGTTTTTTGTAATCTTGAAAAAAGTCCAAACCAAACTGCAGAAGACAGAACTCGTGTCCGACGACAACTGTGCTGACGACGACTTGCGCGGCTCGGACTCCGATCAGCTGGTGCTCGACGGACCTCGACTGCTCGCCAGCCTTCGGCGTCACGCACAGGAAGGCCTCAGCCTTCGTCTCCAACTCCTACCTCGCCCAGCTGTCTCTTTCAAAATGCTGTCCCACTTCCTGCGGATACAACGTTTGCGTATGAACAGAGCTCCAGGCTCCAGTCTCGATTCCCACGAAAACTGTTGGGACAAGTTACCTTCCCTTCTCATGAACTTGTACAAAGCTGAGTGAACCTAACACAGACATCCCTTTGAAATTTCTTTCTCTCAAATTCTTCGTTACCCGTTTCATCCTACCTTCTTCCGAACAGATCTCCAGAACCTTTAGTTGCTTTAAACAGAGTTCAATTATGATTTCCCTCACTTAGACTCATTCATTTTCATCGTGGCTTTTCGCTTTTCATTATTCGAAGAAAAAATTCAAGTTTCGTAATATTAGATAATTGTTAAAATGTCTTTGTCCATCAAGTATTGTCAACGTTGCAATCAAAAGCGCATAATTCAAATAAAGCAATTGGCTAGAATTAAAAAAAAAAAGTCCGAATTCAAAATATGTTCTAAAAGGATAACGAAGTGAATTTCCACAAAGAAAGGCATCCGGTAATCAAAAAAGAAAAGAAAGATTTTTCAAGCAGATCAGAAGCCATTAGAACAGCATAGGAGTCACAATACAAGTAGCTTAAAACTGAGCCGCGAAGGATTTGAACAGAAAAATTGCTAGAAGAACAGCTTGGAAGACTCACAAGAAGCCGTCCATCTCGCTCTCGACTTCGAAAATGCCGCTTTCGCTGTCGGCCACTTCGAACTGTGGTCTTTCCGAGGCTGGTTCAGGAGACTGAAAACTAAAGTCCTCATCTTCAAAAAAAAAACATCCCAGCAGCGCTTATAAAGCTTGGAGCTATTGGACCGATTCTCCGCTTTTCCAGTTCCTTTCGAACGAAATTTTACAAGAGATGGAAATCCTGGCATGTCTGCGCTCTCTTTTCTCTCACTCTCTTTTTGTGATACTGTCTCTGTTTTATGACCGCGCCGGTGTGAGAAAAGAGGTCAAGCCGGTTTGAAATCACCATTTTTTCAGAGAGACAAGAAGATGAAAATTTGATCAAGCACTCACTGGAACTACGACGATCCGACTGTCGTGATCTGGTCCAATCTCGTAGCTGAATGTTCGGTAGGCCTCAATATTCTGCAGGCACTTCGAGAACCTGAAAAAGTCCTCAGCCTCTTTTTTTAAAGGAAAAAAGTACCGTAACCGACGTCCTGGAGGAATATAGATTATGTCACCACGAGAAACGCCGCGAGCCTTGTCCTCGATCGAGCTGAGTTCGTTGCAAGACGCCGACTGAAATTGTCTCATAGAACTCCGAAAGTTATTTTTTGTTCTTGTTATTTATTCAAGTTCTCTGAACCTTGGCTCAGACTTTTCTTCCATTCACTCGTATATTGTTGACTAGAACTATGTTGAATCTTGATGGAAAAAACTTTTTTTTTTTAAACTTATGCCGAATGTTTGGACAACTATATAGACTAGAAATTCGCTTTTCTTCGAAAACTTCTCGGAAACTAACACTGCTGGCGAAGCACTCCTCTTCCACCGTTCCGCAGCCCTTCACCAGCACCATTATCGAGGCGCACTCCAAAACCGGTAGGACTGCTTCTTCGCAATTTTCCAGAGTCACCTGCAGTCGGAAAAATTATTGGAACGCCAGCAAACTTGAAATTGACAATATTAAATCGCGCAAAAACTTTAAACGAGGTTCTTATACAATTAAAATCGATCCATTTTCTTCAAAACGATTCCTATTTGGAATAAACTTACATCCAAATATCAGTTCACCCTTCCACCTAATTCTTTGAAAAAATTATTGGTTGTTTTTACCTCGCAACGATTTTTTTACCTCTATTCCACCAAGACTTAACTGTTCTCAATTTTTTTACTTCAACTTTTTTTCTTTATTCAAATTGTAGATCAAAGTGAACTCGTTGGGGTTCACACTGATCTGTGAATAAAATTATTATTATTAAGATCCAGAGTAAAATATGGTGAGCATTTAAGTTTGGAAATTTTTATTGCAATTGCACAAACAATGTTAAAAGAAGTTTTTCACAGTCCCTACTTGCTCAAAATTACGATTTTTGACATAAAACTTGGAAATTTCTTGCTTTTGACAGTTGATCTTGTTGGCAAAAGATGAGAAAATTGTTGCATTTCATGACTCCGAATTACTAATTTTGGAAATTAGTAGAATTTCTTCATCTCAGAGCTTTGGAAAAAAAAATCAAGCGTGAATCACAACCTCTATACAACCTCGAAAATAATTTCCATTTTTCGAAGTCTCACAGTTATTTTGTGTAGCTGGAAGTCTTTGCAGCCATCCGGAGAGTACTCTTCTACAGAAGGGAACTGTTCGAGACGTCGCGGCGGTACGAGATACTCTTCGGGTGACGTCATCCGGTAGTTGAGCACCTCGAAAAAAAAGCATTGTGGCAAAGGAAAGCGTCGGGAAACCTCGCAGAGAGCGTCTCGGTCTATGAACTTCGGCGTCATCGCTGCCCGGATCGTGTTGTTGGAGCAACCGACACATTCCACGCATTCTGAAGCGACCGAAGGTCTTGATTCTGAACAGAGTGCAAACCTCCGCTCAGATAAGCATGGAGCTCTTCGGCGGCGTAGTAACAGCACTCTCCAGGCTCGAGGATCATGTGGTTGAGCAGGAGAGGCGAGAAGATGCCGACGTCGCCAGGGAAGTCGACGGACATCTTCCGAATCACCGCCACCGTCTCTTCTTGCAAGCACCCTCTCACTGAACTCGGTTCGTTTTCCGAAAGTTTTGCCGAAACGAACCTCCGTCGTCGAGGGATGTCATGAGGTTTTCGGTGAGGTCTTCCACCTTCTCGGGATAGTCGCGCGCCATGTCCATCATGTGTCTGAAGAATATAAACTGCGATTCAAGTATTTTCCAGAAATGATTAATATAATGACTCTTCCATATACTAGATAGATTTTTTTATAAATGAAACCCTGAAGCTTCAGCTATCCGCAGTCACTAACGTACAATCTTTCTTCACCATTTTGATAGTTCAGTGAGTGAGAGACTAGTTCATGACTAAAGGCGAAATATTTTCAGGGCGTTTCTTCCTGAAATCGTGACAAAAAACTCTATGATTTCGTTTACATACAGTACTGGCCATAAAGGTATTTCAAAGTGGTTATTCGAGCATAACTTCTCTGAAAGGGGGCTCAAATGACTTGAAACTTTGCAAAAAAATTTCAAATAGCTACGCAGTAACTCTTTCACGGAAGAAAAAAACTCATTTTGCATAAGTCAGACCGGATTTGGGAGCAAAAAAACCAAAAAAATCGTGAAAAATCAAGATTTTTTTCTCTTGAGATTCGAAAAAAATCATATCTTCGAAGAAACTTCGTTTTCGAACCAGAAACTTTTTTTCCCCAGTAAAACAAGTCTTCGGCTTTCCAAAAAAACCTAATCAGCCCCTCACCAACCCGATAGTAAGAGCGTAGTGACTTTTTCTTCGGAAGGCCCTTGCGTTTTGACGCCTCCTCATTCAAATGGACTATACGAGGTCATTATTGTTTGAGAACACCCTGTATCATGTTGAAGAACTTTGAAACACCCTCAAAAATAGTTTTATACTAATTTCTTCAGCTTTCTCACTTTATCTGCTCTCCAAAACTCACTAACTTCACTAGGACCGATTTTGAAACCTCTGATTTGAAGCGGTTATGCTCCTTTTTCAAAATCAGAACATTCTCGATTTCTTATTTCAGATTTCAGAGCTTCTTCAGAATCTTGATAAATAAAAAAATAAAAAGAAGACCCACTGTGTTTTGCTTACTTATTCAAAAAGATATAGTGAGTTATACTGAGTTGCTTAAAGTTCTCAAAACTTCGTTTCAGCAAGTGTTGCTTAGAGGGCTCCAAATCTTGTGGAAGATGATAAAAACCCCTTTTTTCACATTTTTAAATGTTTTAGATCATGAGATGAATTTGTAACTCCTCATTCTAGCTCTCAAATCAAAGATAGGCACTGTAAAAAGTTTCTTTAAACTTTATGGGAAAATAAGTTTTTGATCTTGTGAAACTAATGCTTCAGCAAAAAAGTTAGCAGTCTTCAGGAAGTGGTAGCCTGCAAGTTAGCCATTATTTATCTTCAAATTCACGATTGAAAAGCGATTGACCAGATAAAAACTACTTTGAATGCCCGAAAGTCCAGAAAAACTGTTCAAATCAGAGGTTTCAAAATCGGTCCTAGTGAAGTTAGTGAGTTCTGGAGAGCAGATAAAGTGAGAAAGCTGAAGAAATTAGTGTAAAACTATTTTTGAGGGTGTTTCAAAGTTTTTCAACATGATACAGGGTGTTCTCAAACAATAATGACCTCGTATAGTCCATTTGAATGAGGAGGCGTCAAAACGCAGGGGCCTTCCGAAGAAAAAGTCACTACGCTCTTACTATCGGGTTGGTGAGGGGCTGATTAGGTTTTTTGGAGAGCCGAAGACTTGTTTTACTGGGGAAAAAAGTTTCTGGTTCGAAAACGAAGTTTCTTCGAAGATATGATTTTTCGAATCTCAAGAGAAAAATCTTGATTTTCACGATTTTTGGTTTTTTGCTCCCAAATCCGGTCTGACTTGAGCAAATGAGTTTTTCTTCCGTGAAAGAGTTACTTCGTAGCTATTTGAAATTTTTGCAAAGTTTCAAGTCATTTGAGCCACTTTCAGAGAAGTTGTGCTCGAATAACCACTTTGAAATACCTTTATGGCCAGTACTGTAGAAGCAAAACGTTGGTTCTTTGGGGAGGATCTGTCTGCTCTGACTTCCTTTCTATCCCCGGGTCATAGTCTACTCGTTAGGGTGGACTAATTCCCGTTTTGGTTATTCTGCTGCTTTCGTATTCTGAACTATTATATTTATTATTTTCTAACAGTATGCAGTGAATAAACCTATGATCTGTGTAGCCAGCTTAATGTGAAACTCAAAACATACCTGAAGCAGGTGGCAAGGGCGATACGCGATTTCTTATGTTGCGAGGAGTCCTTATCCAATTTCTGGCACTTTTCCAAAGCGAGAATGGCCGTCTTCAACTTGAGACAGTGCTTCTCGCCGAGCAACGAGCACAACGAAGGGAATTCTGGGATGGGGCCGTGAGCCGAGCCAGGAAAGAGCAAGGAAACCTTCCAGGTTTTGGAGTATTTCGTTGGCTGGACGGAAGCCGCACAACAACTCGAAACGTGTCAGAGCGTAGGCCAACTCGGGCTTGTGGTTCCTATCCGGATAGTGGAGCGGGTCTCTTGCGTGCAAGATCGCTGCCTGCTCCTCAAAAAGGAAAACTTCATACCGGAAAAAACCCTTTTTTCCAAAATTCAAAAAAAGTCTCCAGCCGTTAGATCTATTTTGCACAGTTGGCTAGCTTTAGTTCCTACTAATATAACTCTCTTTTTTGAATATCTTCCTATCGAAATCACAACATTTTCATATTTTTAACCAGAACTTTAGAAAAAATTTGAGGCGATTCCCGCCTAGAAAAAGGAAAAGCTACGGCCACGCCTCCGCGTATGCGAAAGTTCCTCAGTTGGTGGGGTGAACTGATCCCGCAATTTACCTCTATCTTTACCTTCTCCGGTAAACCACTTATTCCCCTGTTGTTCTGCACCTGACAAATCCAAAGAGGAAATTTCACCTAATCGACTTTCAGATTTTTCTTTTGCTTTAGATTTGTATATCTGGAGAAAGTCTATAGAATCTAAAGGCGGACAGGCTTGGAATAAAGCAGAAAGCTGTTCTCAGAGCTTTTGTAAAGGTCTCAAAAGCCACAGAAAGCACTTATCAATAGACGAAACCCTCCATGGGATTTCCATGAGAGCAAAAAACGTAGAAATACCTTAGTCGGATGAACCTGCAAGCTCAGCGTTGTCCGGATCGACATAATCTTCATTATGAAGGGCAAATGAATGTTCTCCTGGAAGAAAAACCATTGAAATCCTCAACAAAATAGACTGCGAAGGCTTTTGCATTAACGAACGAACCTTGACATTGTTATTGCTCAAGTAAGACGCAGACTGGCTCTTGGCGATGTGAGACGAGAGTTTCGTGGAGCAAGTCTGGAGACGAGCAGGTCCATCAGGATGCGTTCCCATCCACAACTGAAGAGTCCTCTCGTTTTTGTTTCTGTCTCAAAGTCTGTACCTCGGCGTAGGGAGTGGTGCAGCCAAGTTTGAAGTTCTTGTGGCCGGCGGCGAAAAGTCGCGCCACCTCGCTCTCTCTTCCAAGTTTGCCCCAAGCATATTCCTTGACGTGACACTCAAGCCGCTCCATGTCTCAACCCTCAAATCTCCTTGTTTAGCGGAAATCGGAAGAATAACGACAGAAAGATTCTAGTAGAATGATACACGCGAAGGCGAGATTACTAAGAATAAAAATTATCTACAAAAAATAATCTTTCACAAAAAAATTATTCACATAACTTATGAAAATTGAACTTATGTGACATAAGTTCAATTTTGCTACTTTTGAAGGGAAATTAATGATTAATTGAAATTCGCGAATAGAAAAAAGCAAAAGTGTTTTTTTTTTCCTATACTAACTCTCGAATGTATGAAACCAATACAATTTCCGGCCACAGAAAAAAAATGCTGCTGATCGTTATTCTGTTTCAAACTGAATAGTTCTGCTCTTGTTTCGAAGAAAATTCTCAAAAATGGTATTTTCTGATTGACAATGTTCAGAATAAGAGAGATCTACTGAAAGATGAACTGGACGACAGAAAAGGTGAGAACCAAGGAGAGTAATTGGCAGTGTGAGAGAAAGAGGCGACGGTCGATCAGCTCGCAGCAAAACAGTCTGCCTTCTCGCCACGGCCAGGGCTTCTTCTCGCGAACACACGGCCGTTTCACTTTCTCCATCAATCACCTGCCTCCAATGGAAGCACCTCTCAACTGCCGTCTTTTGCTGACATTCCGACCCACAGTTCGCTATACTGTGAGCGCCTGCCACGCAATTCGTTCAGCTCGTTTTTTTTTGCCGCTACTTTTACTTTCGGTCTCATTTCGCACTAACAACCGTCGGTCGTTTGAAGTCGAGAAGCCACAAAATGATGACGTCAAAGCTACAGTGGGGAAGAATAAAAGAAAGCAGAAAGGAAGAACTGAGGGACTGGGTGGAAAGTTGAAAGAGATCCCACAATTCGGCCGTGTCGGTCGCGCGGAGAAAGATGACCTAGAAGAAAAAGGCCACGCACGGCTTTTCTCCTCCTCTAGCCACTGCCGGACGTTCGTCCAAAGTCCAAGATGACGGCATCTCTAGAAGGACGGCTCCGGGCAGCAAAGTGCGTCGGTAGGGACCAGACCAAACGATCTGACACATTGTTCCACGCAAATGGAAAGCGCGGGTCATGACGGGCAAGAAAACTGGCTAAAGCTGACTTTAAAGTTGCAGATGCGCCATAATGAGGCAGCTGAAATGAAACAACAACAACAAGAGCCAGATATGAATACTGATGAATAACCTAACTATATGCAATTATGCACTAAAAATGGAACTACAGCGGCTTCAATCGATTTGATCTTGTTTTTCGATTCCAATACATCTAAAAGAAAACTGAACGATTTCAAAAATCATTAAGAGCCTTCAGGAAATCGGAACCATTTGAGCTGGTCGACAGGAAAACGGAGCTCAGTTCGGAAAAGTCAACGAATTCGAAGAGAAGAACTGTCCGCTCCGCCCTTCGAAAGACGTCAAGAACTTATCAGCCGGTTCTACTATCTGCAGAACTTGCCTACTATAGAAAGACGGTCCAATCGATCGTCACTGTTACTTTTTTCAAGGCATCCGCCCATTTGGCGAAACCCCTCAAAATCACTGAGTGCAGATCAAAACGTCCAAAAAAGAGTCATCTACTCTAGGAGCGCAAGTCGTACAAACTCCTATAAAAATTTACTTGTTGTGTCAACCACCGCTTGAATATTTCCAAAGAAAACTTCTTCCAGGCAAATGTGTCGAACTCTTAGTTTCTCCTCACCGGATATAGGTAAAACATGACACCCTGGCTAATAACCATAATCAGTTTTGACTAGTATAAAGTTGGCTTGGGAAAAAAAAATAGGAACATCTCTAAAAATTGTGGAAAAAATAAAAAAGGGAAAGAAGGGCTTTTCAAAAAAAAAATATGAAGGTGTGCAGAAAGGTTTCGGAAAAGGTAGAGGCTGAAAAAAAGGTTCCACGTCGTTAGCAGAGGGATTCTCAGACGGTGCAGAGGGGCCATTCTCGGCAATGGTCGGGTCGACGAGAAAAGGGAAATCTTTATCGACTAATCGGATCTGGCCATTGAATCTAGGCTAGTGGCGCGCGGCGAGACTCTTAGATAGTCTCAGTCCAACATCGCCGAAAAAGTTGTAGAATCCAGCGGCAAATAAAAACCTTACTCCAACTTCGATCCAGAGACTTTCGTAAGCAAACTTTCATAAGCGGGACCATATATGCCTCTGATGATTTATAGCTTTATACAAATTTTAAAAAATTTTAGATACCTACGCTCCTGATATCATAAACATGAAACTCCTAGCTTTTTTACACATACGTTTTTAACCGAGATTTTTTTGGTTCACGATTAAGTTCAACCACATGAGCGAGTATTGAAAATTTTCGCCTTGAGATTCTGCTAAAAATTATCTGCCCATGTACTTTCTGTGTTGGAAAATTCGATTGGACTTTCCTTCTTTTTGTTTTGAAATCCTATAAAGGAATCAAAAACGATTTATTAGTACACTTTTTACATTACATTGTATTGCTCGAAATCAAAAGTCAAACGTTGAAGTTGATGTTAGTGTTTGGAAGCGCGCGCTTCAGTTTCTCGTGGACTTTCTCTTTTCCATGGACGCTTTTCAGGTTCTGTAGTTTCAGTTCTTTGAGAGCCCTGAAAAATGTATTTTTTCGATAACAGCACAAGTCGAAAAGGTTTACCACGGTAGCTCTTTCTGTCAAAACAAAAATGAAAAAGAAATGTTGTTGTTTCAAATTCTAAAGAAGCAGATTCTTCGTCACATAACACAAGGCCGTGTTAAAAACGTACGGAAATTTGACGACGTGGGCAAGTCCAAACTCGGTTATTCGCGGACAGGAATCTATTTCGAGCACCTTCAGCTTATCGCCGACAGCGTCGCCCATGGTCTCCAGGCCGAAGTCGTGCAAGTTTTTGCATCGCACAAAATGAACGTCTTCGATTTTGCGAAGATTTTCTGAATAATCAATAAAAGTTTCTCAAGAAAAAAAAACCAATTAAATAAATATAAATAAATATAGATTAGTCACATCTGTTCAGCCCGTCCGGTTTGGCACACTGTATTTTGAAACTGTGCATACACCAATCGCGGTTTTTGCGCGATATCTTCGTTAATAACGAGTTTTTTGTACGAAAAAATGGACAGATTTGAAGGAAAACGCAATGAGAACAATCAATAATACAATCTGAGTTTTAACAATTAACACGCGTTCTCTGAGAAAGTCGATGAATCTGAAGCAAAAATAAAAAGTTTTTTTGATTTGCCTCAAAATGTGATCACGGCTCACACACGTGCTTCTGATTATTTTGCACCAGGTTCCAGGTGGCTCCGCCCCTTTTAAAAGATACTGTAGACAGTAAGCTGAAAAAAATTAATTTTTTTCCTGTTGAGAATTTTCATTCAAAAATGTTTGGAAATGTAAGAAAACACTATTTTGAGTATTTTTTTCAGTTGTAACTTTTTCTAACTCGACTTCTTGGGGGAGAAAAAAATCGAAATTTCCTCAAAAAAACAGCGATTTTTTTCAGTTTTTTTGAGCCATAACTTGAGTAAGAACCCCCTATGGTACGACTTTTTATTTCTGATTATGAAACTAGGGGTTTTTCTTGTTCAAGAAAAAGTAGTACTACAACAAATCCCTGGGGTGGGATAGTTGACCTCCATTCGACCGAAGGTGATCAACTTGAATCGGCTCAAAATTCGAAAA